TTTGGGGGGGGGGGGGGCTAGTACACTGAAGGTACGTAAACAGGCTTTGGGATTTAAAGGTAGCCTTTATAGTTAGCCACTCCGTGTGTAGTCCTTTAGCAGACCAACTCCGATGGCATGTCTTTGGTCTATTAGCCAATTTCTACTCTTTCGGACTTTCCAGCTGTTTTCAAAGCCTGGTAGAGGCTAATTTACGTTTCAAAAATAAATTCTGACACGTACGACATGCTTCCTCGTCCTCCCCTCCAGGACAGTCGGCTCGCCCGTCGCACTTGAAGACGTCCAGCACGCAGGACAGGTCTGCACACGCGAAGTGGGTACTCGGGCACTCCGGACCCGGTCCTGGTGGACACAGGAACGTACGGTTGTGTTACGGTTAAATTGTTGTGATAATGGATGCATCTGTCATACATAGACCAATATGGCCTTCATTACCGAACTCCCTCCAGCCATGATTGGGATTAGGTTGGGAGCAACTTCTGGGTACGGAAATACAGTTTGGGTGCAGTGTGACAATGTAAGATATACTCACTAAGTTTGTCCGACTTGAGTACTGCCTTGTAGGGATCGTACTCATCCAGGTTTAGCAAGTCGTCTGCAAATAATATACAACAAAAAATAAATTCGTCAGAAGAATTAAGACGACCCTTTTCATCAAAGTACACCGACCATTACTCAACTGAAACGGCGGGTGGGGAAACTTTCATACCAATATTTGTGAGGTCGCTGGCGGAAACGGTTGCTTGTTTCCTATCGTAGGCTTGCCTTAAGGATACTTTAAACGCTTCATACAATGTATATGAAATGATGACAGAAATGTGACAAGAAATTTCAGTAACCGTCAATACTGACAATAGCAAACAAATTTGTTTTGCCGCCCTGAAATTGCATTGGATGTTAAATACTGCCATAATGATTCATGGTGGGAAAGATGAGGTGGAAAATGTCGTTCCCTTTCCACTAAAAAGCTGAGATAGTTCACATAATCAGTTTCGTTACCACTCTGAAGTCTGAATCCGAACAGTTCTACCCTCATGGCGGGCGGGTTGTGGTGGATGCCGGTCATGTTCTTGCCGAGCCAGTCCAGCGGGTAGACCCGCACGTACCGCGTCACGAACGGGTAGGCCAGGACGTGCTGCACCGCGTCAGACTTCGTCATGCCGACATGCCAGTCTTCGTTTCCGATGAATATCTATCAAGGAAGTTCACGAAAAAGCAGTGAGCATGTCCAGCATCAAAGGTCAATTAAAGCCTAGCCTGGGTGCCGTCCTCCAGAGTTACCGCCGGCTCCGGATTGTCGCTAACTTGCATGGACTACCAAGGCCTAGGCCAGAGCCTCGGAGGATGTGATCTTTTTTTTTTTTTTTGAGAACAGGCGAAAATCAATGCGCGCGCGGATGTCATCCATAAAATTAAATCGGTGTGGCCTACTACATTAAGAATTTAGACCTAGAAAAATTTTTTAAAAACAAAAACAAGCTCACGTGGTCGGACTCGTCCTCCGATGTCCCGTTCTTGTAGGACCTCCATGTCCGCTCGTCCTCGCTGTACCGGAGCGTGTACGCGGTGACGGCGAAGTCGTGCTGACAGTGGCCCAGCGTCGCCACGCCGGTGATCTCCGTCGACAGACCCATGTCAACCTGTTTTTATTTTTCTTTTAGTTTATCTATTCGCAAAATGTAACATTATAAAGAACAAAATGGAAAGACAAACAGTGTGCAGGAGGACGGGTGGGGAGCCTTGTAGGCTTATACTGGGCCCGCCTCCTTTAGTCTTAATAAATAATACATGATACTATCATGACTAAAAAGAGATTTTTGGTAACAAAGTTATTGTAAACTAGTGCATGTAGGTGCTTTATGGCCTCTACCGGGCTTCAGGAGACGTCTGGAAAGAGTAGAAATTGCATGGCCAAATAGAGATAACATGCCGAGGGAGTTGGTCCGCTAGAGAGTACATTTTGCCGCGGTCTCTAGCGGACCAACTCGGCCTCTGTATGTTATCTCTTTATTTGACCAATTTCAACTCTTTCCAGCCGTCTTCCGAAGTCTGATAGAGGCTAGTTGCTTTAGCAAAACTGTCCACAATGACCTGCAGCCACTCCAGGCCGTCCCACTCCTCCCAGGGTACGAACTGCATCCATGCCGGCAGCTGGCTGTACACCCAGTCCTTAAAGTTCCACTCGTTCAGGGATATACCTGATATCCACCCGCACCTGTTGACGAGAGACGAATACTAACTGTCTCTTTGTCCAATCATTAATTCTACACGCTTCTGTTTATCTGTTTTAACATAGAGATTCCGTAGCCTCCTGTGCAGGCCTCCGAGTGGGTAGGAGTTTTGATACTGCGTTTTGTAGAATTTTTAAGGCGTTCTTTTGCCTATCGTCCTACAACCAGCCGCCCAGAGAAGTTTTATATCCGCCACGGCGGGCCTGCACAGGAGGGTAGAGATTCCGACTGGGGCCTGTATTAAAATACTTTCAACTGTGTGATCTGCTGTGATACTTTCAACTGTGATTCTTGTCACTTTAGATCTATGTATTGATCCCAATTTGTAAATTGGACCCCCCCCCAAACATTAACAGCATCTCAGCTACCGGTAGAATCGTCGACCGGAGTCTTTACGCTAAAACCCTGACATATAAATTATATAGAAAGTTTATTGCAAATACATGCCCGAGGGCTAATTGCAGTTACAAACAACAAAAGAAAGAAAATACAATGGTATGTGAGACTATATCTACATCCGTAACATTATACTATTCTCTACAACATACATGGTACAAGCTATAGTTTTACTGTATATGTTGTTATTGTTGCACGTACACGTGAAAGCGCGCCATTGCGGGCCGGTTGAAGTAGTCCTGGTACGACCATGCAGTGATCTGCTCGTTCAGAATGGCCCCAGATTCCATGCCGAGCGGACAAACCCTGTCTGAAAATAGAGAAGAAGAAAAGAAAATATTTAACGACCCTTCTGCTTAAATCACAAAAGGCTAATTAAGACGCTTTCCAGGATTTCAAGGTGTGCACTTCCAAATTTGTATGACAGAGGTCGTTGCAGTCCTATTGAAGAATGTACGTAAGGCGTGCATGTATCGACGATATGTACAATTTTGATAGACTCATACCAGCTAGTAATCTACCATACACTATCTACCACACATTATATATATATATATATATATATATATATTTGCATCTGTTACAATCGTTGTGCAATAAACTTGACTTGACTTGAAGTTTTATCTACTGTCTATGAAAGATAACGGGAGCATGATATCGACAGCTTTCGCCTGTACCGAGCCAACATCACACAAAAAGTGGCAAAAGTTAATCTCCAAGCAGATCCCTTTCGGTGGCATAAAGACAGTGTCAAATTGGCCAGGCAGTATCCATTTAGCCAGAGAAGGTCGCCAGCCACCGTTGGTAGGGGTAGCGACAAAAAACGGCCATATATATAAAAAAAGTTACGATCATTCCCCAACAACCTCTTCTTGGAGAGTAGGCAAAAGTGTCTTTTTACCTTCTTCGTCGTATATGAACACCCTCTGAGTCAGCTGAGACCTTACGCTGGTGAACAGGACAACCAACACACACAGGCGGAGCGCCATTGCCTGACTCTATAGACCAGGCACAGCTAGCCAATGGTTGTAGACTTGGTTGCTGTTAGTACAATGTAGCTGTATCTACATCAGAAAGACAAATCTTAGCTAAATAACAGAGATTGGAATTAAACAACAACAGTGCTGTGTATGATGGTTAAAGCATTTCAGTAGCGTCGGTTATCTGATCTTGTAAAAAAAGTACTAATTTCGCATAATTTCAGACAAATTTTGTCAGTATGACCTCCTTCGGTGAATTCTGTAGTTTCCTTATATTTCGGCATATTTCTACACAGTAGATCCCGCAAGCGCTACCGATTTACTTGACTTGCGCCACTTGAAAGCCAGTAGAAAAGTTGCACATTCTTAAGTTCTTAACCCCTATGAATGGCCCTCAATAACTTACTTTTTGTACTGCCAGAATTCGAAAAAGTCGCTATCCTACACTGGAACACAATAGTCATCAAATACGGTACGCATGAGTATGCCCTTGTTTGCCCATAGAACTGTATATAACGTGCGACTATACGTACAAAATTGTAGATATTTCCAAATGTCCCGAGAGTTTCCAAGCCAAGTCAGCCGATCTGAGCAAGGTCCGAAGCCGCAGTGTTGGACCAAGTGACTACAGTGTATAAGGATGCGTAAATTCTACCGTGCACAAACAGAGGCATTTGTCACGCATATGTGTCACCGATCGAGCTGATTGAACATTTCTGTGTTTTATAATGACATGCAAGAAATTAGTTTCATCCAGCAGGGTTTATCAGGAAAGACTCGTTACCATCATCTTGAGCATTTTTTTCAGGAAATTTTGAGATATTAACCGTTTCTTAAAAAGAATTGTTGGTACATAGGTTAACAGGTGTCATAGAAATGATAATTGATGTTTGTCTTCTAGATTGATTATAGAATAGATTGATTTGAGATTCTATAGATTTTATAGATCATAGATTGTGCGCGTAAAAATGAAAAACAATGTCACCCCAACATGTGTTTGTCTTTATTCTGCACAACCTTTTGCAAGTTTGGATGTCATAATTTGACTATTTGACTAGTTAAGGATTTTCGTGCAATGAAATAAAGAGACAGAGAAAGAAAGAGAGGAAAGAAAAGGAGGAAAGACTGGAAGGGAGATTTTACAGTATATTACAGTTTTTTTTGTTTTGTTTCTTTGGTTTGTAATAAAACAACCATGTACACTTTGAGGTGAGGTACACGTACGAGTAACTTTGGGCCCCTTTTTTCGTGAATGGGCGAATCCCCTGACCTTTGCCCTTAAGAAGCCTCATTCTCACCCAACATTCCAAGACGGTGTCCCGGTGTATTTTGAAGTCGTACCTTGACGTTTGTTGATGTCTAAATTGTCGTTTACATGCACGTACGAGCACCATGTAAGTGTTGGGCAATAGCATAACGTTTTATTCGTGTAATCTGACCGAAATGTGATTGCTATGCAAGACGTTAAGTTCAGGACAGCGCAGGAACTGGCGAACGGTCTTGTCGTCGTGGGACGACAAATAATTTTTCCTCAGGACCACTTCTTCTGCACAACAAAGAAAGTGCGGCGAATCGGGAGGTAATGAGCTCTTCTCAAGTGGGACAACCGCAGCTGAGGCCGAGCACCGTCGCCTGCGGTCAGGATGAAACGGCGATTTCTGAGGAAAAGTTAGCGGCGGGGGAAGGAGGAAGGGGTCTAGCGGAGGGGAGGGCTAGCTCGGCTCGACTCCCGGCCAACAACAACACACCGCCGAGCGCCACGGAAGGTTGCACCGCTGGCTCGGGACTTCTGCCTCCTATCTCCGCCACAACTAGCAAGGTAACGGTACACAACATTTTCCTTAAATCTTGCATATTTGTTTCACGCGGCAGAGCGTTCGGATCGGAACCTAGAGGTCCCGGGTTCGAACCCTGCCATGTCACCGATCTTAATTGTGCCCTTGGGAAAGACACTTTACACGACTTTCCTGGATGGAAACCCCATCTCGTATTAGCCACAAAAAGGCAGCAAAATCTTCAGCTAGTTGAAGGAGGCTGCCTCAAAATTAAAGAAGAAGAAGGAGATTCATTCTCCTATTAAACTTTATGAGTCTTTTGGGGCTGAACGCACGTACAGCGCAGAAAGGACAAATTAAACGGACCCTTTGTTGTGCCTGTCAAGGTGAATTATCATGATTTGGAGCGTGAACAAAGGGACGTGTTTGCGACCTCCTTGTGACAACAGCAGATTGTACCGTGTTGTTATAGTAATTACTGCAGAGCTACGCACCTAGCAACAATTGCCATACGTATACGAACCGTACATGTACAATTTGTATGTCGTAAAATGAGCAAAGGCATTCTGTTGCTATTGGCAACTTTGTCACATGATGTATGCTGCATTGTTGTCGGAAGTAGAATAAGCAGAGACAACTAGAAAATGATAACATGTTGACCTCTTAAATTTGTGGTTCGTATTTATGAAAAACATATCACCTGACGGGACTCCAAATATTTTATCATTAATGCAGGTAAAATTGTGCAGGTACATGTATGTCTAATGTCTACCAGCACCTAATCTGCACTACTAGTATGTACTGGGTATACAAATGTGCATGTAGTTTTATTTACTTTTTTTGATAAGCTGCTACCTGCAAAATGTCAGATGAAGAATTTTTAAATACCAGTTTGATTCTTCTTAGATGGAAAAGTCACTGACTTATTTATGTGAAGTAGTGCAGATATATCTACAGTCATGAAGAAAAAAAAAATTGAGTCTGGCCTTGCCTGATGAACAAAGTGGATGTCATCACACTTGAGTTACTCTGCAATTAAGATTTATATCGGTAAAAAATAAGAAAGGAAAAATTGAAAAGGGAAAAATGAAAAATAGAAATGAATTACATGTAGAAAATTCATCTCAGTAATATTTCATCTTTTCAAGAAGAAAGACATATTCATTATTTAAGACTAAAAGTTAAGTACATGTATGTGTATACAAAAACAAATTGTATGTCAATTGTAGACAGTCCCATTAGTGTACTATGATTAATGATTCTGACTGGCCACAGACAAACAATTTCAAAGATTACAAAGAACTGGGTGGGACACCAGAGCAATAGGTTACATACCATTGTACTCAGCAGGCCAAATTCTATAGCCTGTACAGTTTCAAGATGGATTTCGATAGAACATACAACTCAATGTACCAGGTGAGTTTGTATGATTCACAAACACCATGTTGCTACTGCAGGGCTCGAAATACTGGGTGCATATGCAAGTTAGTACAGGTAAAATTCGGGCTGTGTAGGTATTTCTGATGTTTGCTCATTCCTAACCTGTACCTTTCCTTGAAACGTTACTGGGTTTACATATACATGCACTTACATGTTTACATGTACATGTATTTGTAGTTTTTTAATTGTGGATCGATTGCTACCACCTAACTTTCCTAGTGTAAAAGAAAAACTGTCATGATCAATTGTCAATGGTTTCTGAATCCATACTTCCTAAATTCTGAGTGGTGCAGGTAAAATATGTCCTGTCCAGGTAAATTTCAATGTTACCTGCACCTGTGCAGGTGCACGTAGAAAGAATTATTTTGAGCCATGACAGTCTTCGGTCTTTACAATTGCCATATGCCATAGAGCCGTTCTTTTTTAAAATTTTGCTCTCCCTTTGTTTTGTAGGTGATGGAGACAGAAGAGCAGAGGAAAACACACCGGCCTTTTGCCAAGATCAGCAACTTTCTCAGCGCCCTGCGGACACGTGGGGGGAAGGAAGGGGAGGAAAAATCAGTCAGAAAAGGGTACGTCTGTCTGGTAAACCTGCCATTCTCCTGCAGTCTCTAGTGTCACTGACGAAAGGTAGTGGATGCTATCTGAAACGTCTGGCCGTTTCCAAAATCATATCCAGTTGCTTGAGTAACTGCTTTTTGCAGTATCTTATTACCTGGATGTCTAACCTTTACCGACGTAGGTCAGTCTTGTTATCTAATGTTGTATGACGTATACGGGCATGCTGTTGACGTCACCATGTTTATATAGCTTCCATATCCTTTGCTTCCTTACTAGTACAGTAGTAGTAGGATTACAGTATGATCTGTATAATGCACCTGTAACAATACTGATGATGTCACATGAAAAACCTGTATTATGCACATCATACATTTGCTAATTGGTTTTGATATATATTTCATTTTTGTTATTGAAATTGGATAGATTTTGTGAAAGATTTGTAAAGACCATTTGGGAATAGAAACTGTATTCTGCCTCTCTTTGTTTATATACAAATTTGTGTATATAAAAATGACACAACAAGAGAAAAGAAAGTATGAGACTTGTCTAAGGTTTTTTGCATTCATGATGTATTAGCTGAAAATTATTTTCTCATGTTTTTCTGCCACAGTTCTGGAAGAAGACGTTATGTGGGTAACCTGCCGCCCATCCAACCCCCTCCTACACCATGTCCCGCACAACTCACTGCTCCCCCCACCACCCCAGTAAGGACGTCACCCACACAGCAACAACAGCAGCAGCAAAGTCCTGCAAAATCACCTCAACCCATCGTCATCAGGAAAACACTACAGGAGTTCAAGTAAGGGACCAACCACAACTACTTGTGAAGTTTTATTTAATCACAAAGACAGACTTGAATATTGTAAATTTGTTTATTTTTGTGGGGATTTGATTTTGTGGTAGGAAATTTAGAGAAGCTTGAGGTTTTAAGTTTGTCATTGGAACAGTTCTGTAACACATTGTTACAGTTGTAGTATAACAGTGGAAATGTATTTTGGTGGTGTCATCTGACAGCAAAAATTGCAAAAATCTATTATTGATAGGTCTAGAAACATTTGCAGTTAAGTATTGAATAGAACATGAAAATTACATGTATTTTGTATCACAGAAAACAACAGAAAAGTGGAAACCGTACAAAAGGTCGTAAATTTAAAGTGGCTTGGTCATGAAAAGGGCCCAGGCCCCTATGTCCCTGGACTTTGTTTCAGTAAGAAAATGCATTGTAAGCACTGTACAAAGGTAAGTTACAGTGTGTAAAACATAATGTTTGATGTGTAGAAAATGTCTGATAATAAATAAGAAGTTGATATATGTATCTGTTTTCTTTCCAGGGATGATGCTGCCCAAGCCCACTCTTCTGGCAGCTTCAAAACCCTTCAGGAATTTTACTCCACTTCCTTCGACTCTTTCTACCAGCTTGTTGGGGCTTTTCAGGTGACTCGATATATTCTGTTTGTCTTAAGTTTTGTTTATTCAACTTGCAAAGTTGCTCATTGGAAGAAAGTATTTGCTAGGATGTGGTTGCTGGGTTTTGAAAAATAGCACTTGTGCAAGTGATAGCCTGCTCAACAATCTCTTATGTACTAGGAAGTTGCTGTAGTGTGTTGGTTATGTAATACTATGCATATGAACAGGACTTTTGTTGTTGTTGTAAGTTTTTGTTAAACATCTAATATCTCGCTAGACGTGGTCTATTGGTTAGGAAGCTTTTATATATTGTTGTTAAGAAAAGCTCAAAGCATTATCCTAGTGGGAGCGAATGCAAAGACTCCCATAGTTTCATTTCCATTGCCCAACAAATGAGCACTCATTTATGTACATAAATACAAATACATATCATACACATGCCTATGATCATGACTAGATTAGCCCTAAGTTAGCCCAGCCTCCAAAACAATGGTGGGGACCGCCATTCAGGACCAGTGCACCATGGCCTGAGAGATTCGGGTCAGCAGATCAATGAATACATGGCCTGGCTGGGGAAGCATGCTTCAATCCATGTTACCATGGAGACAAACAAACACTACTTCATCAAAATCACCACTATGAAGGGTACTATGGGACTGTGATCTACTTTTGAGTGGACAGGTTTTGTCCAAGGATTTCCAGGCGGTCACTTAAAGATTCATTTGTTTGCATAAGAAATAATACCTACTAGCCATGTCAGAAAATATCAAAACAAAGAGGATTTTAAACTCAGAGGTTTTAAGGAGATAAGTCATACATCCCTGAACCTAACCCCGGAACCAATAGAGAATCGGTAGCCAAATGCCTACTTCAGTGTACTAAAGGTTAAATGTACATGTAACTGTATATGCTCTTTATATATACCCATAAAATAGCTGCTGATATTGAATATATACATGTACATGTAAAACTTACTAAAAGGGCAAAAATGCCAACAAATAGGGTAAGTATAAGGGTCATGAAAACCCAAAATACCTTCCATAAGTATGAAAAATGGTTTATTTCATATCTCTAGGAGGAAAGTTCGATAACAAGAAACCCTACAGAACACCCAGGGGTGACTGTCCAACTCCTGGATGCTGTTTATAGTGAACTTATGGAATTGGTAAGGCTTTTTTTCTTCAGTTATGGTGTATAATTACTATTAAGCTCAAGTAAGATACACTGTACTTAAATTTTAATCACGTACATGTGTAACATGATATACAGTATATCGGCAGAATGTACTGCACCTGCCTGAAACACAGATTTTTCACAGTTTTCGTTGGGTGTTTCCGGTAACATTACATCAGCCTCTTCTTTGCACAATGCATTACAGCAGTGGTCGAAATACTTTTTTTCAGTGTTCTGCAATATTGCAGAAGAGTCAAAATTTTGTTCTGCAATTTGGAAATACTTTCTGCAAATACACAAGCCTCTATACTACAATCTTGCAAGTTTATAAGCATGAACTATTGATTGATAATGCAAATTAGTGAAGACAAATTTTTGGAAGTCCAACAGGAAACAAAAGATAGACAAGTCAAGACAAGGTTGATGTAAATTAGTGAAGAAGCTCCTGTTGTTTCAGAACAGGAACTTAAGTGTTGTCTGTCCTTGGGGCCAAGAGCACCAAATCCCAAGTGCCAATTTTTGCTGCTGCAAAATTGCAGATTGTATAAATTTTTCTTCTGCAATCTTTGAAATCCATCTGCAGATTGCAGACTGCAGACAGGTATTTCGAACACTGATTACAGGTTTCACGCAAGTTAAGTATGTTCTGCCAAAGTGCTATGATGTTGCATGTTACATGTAGGTAAAAATGGTTAATAGACACTTCTGTCAAAAGGAGCAACATAAATAATTTGGAAAAGAGACATTGCTCACTATGTCACATGTTTTAAATTAAACAATCGTGTGTTTTCTGCCTTTCTCTTCTGCAGCCACAAGATATTCAAAAGGTTGTTCTCAGGGGAATAGTAAACAGCCTTCTTCAAAAAGATATTAAAGGGTAGGTATACATTACAAGTATATCTTTTAATGCTAGCTTTTGTTTTAATTTTATTTGATAAAAAATACAAACACTGAAGAAAAATTCCACTAGGGTTTATAAAAGTTAATTCATATATATATATTGGTGTGAAACTTGTGTTCAAATTGTTTTCATTCATTGAACACTAACTTATTTCAGTGCAAGTAGAACATAAATACTTTATGAGATGTACTTTTCAAAATCAGTCAAAGAACTGGAAGAATAAACTGAAAATTGCCACCCAGAGGATACAAAATATACTCAGTGGAAAAACAATTTTCATGTAATCCGTCATTGTAATGTTTGTATCTCACAGAATTGTGAGAGAAATACATCCATCAATTTTTTGTCACCCTCATATTTCAGGGGCTTAGGCCACACCAATTTAATTTGTTGGTTCTTGGATTCGCCTCTTCATTTTTTTCTGTTTTGCAAAAAAAAAAAAAAAAATTCTGGTTCTGAATTAACTCAAAAATGCTCATATTTTGCCCCCAACAGTTGTGGAAAGTCCCTTTCTTCCTAGTTGTTGCAGTGTTTCCATCTATCAATGCAGTGGTTTGATTAAAAGTTCAAAATTCATTGTTTAAATATTAACACAATCTTTTGTGTTGACTTCATGGCTCCTATCATAGCATTTGGGGCTATAATAGGATGCCTAGACCTGTTTTTTTTTTTTAAATTTTTTTTCGCCCTGTCGCTTCATGTTTTTCCTGACAAAATCCGAGAACCAACAACTTAAATTGGTGTGGCCTTATTACCAATTTCAGAAGGCCATGGTTTGAAGTTTGTGACTATATAATTTGATTGCTCCATGGCACCATGCATAATTTATGAAGATGTGAATAGCCCTGGACACTTTGATGCCCTTGCACATTGTCTGTCATAGTCCATTTTCTGCTTCAAAGTGACGGGAAAAGTATTGTAATGCTGCTTATACATAATACACAAGCGAAAATGATTTGTACATGCACAATAAAAGCAAAAATTATGACCTGAAATATCTAATGTGCAAATAAAATGTGCCAGTTGCATTGTAACATCATCATTGTCAAAATAGTATAGACTATGATGAAGAGGTTGTTTTCTATACCTAGACAGACATCTTTTTGTATGCCAATACCAAATCGTGTTTGCAGATGAATTACCAGAACACTAGTACATGATAGATTTGGCAAAGGTTTGTTCACTCATTTTTGTTATGTTGCAGCCCCAGAAGCTACAATGACTTGCGAGCTTACTTCATACTGATACAGGTCTGTGTTTTTTTGCCTTCACACTTACGTGTATCCTGGCATAACACTGTCAACGGCCTTGTACGAAGGGAACAAAAGAGATCAACTTTCATTTTATCATGGAAGTTCATCTGTGTTGGTAGTAATCATAGTAAGACTCCCTGGCACTTTTGATCACGTATCCGTGAAGTCTTGTGTGAATAAGGTCACGTGTCTGTAACCGTAACTCTTGCAAGATTACGTTTGGAAGTGATTGGTCATTATTAGTTATCCTGATGAAGGCAACAGTGGTCATTGAAAATTTGATCTCTGTGTCATCTTTGTGTACACATTTTTACTATTATAACTTTCGTCATTTTTACGTTCCCTCTCTCCCAGAACCCCCAGTTCAGCCATGTGAAGACTTACGTCATCTTTGCCCACCTGATCAGACACCTGGCGCACCTGGAGGACAGGGAACACCAGGTGCTGGTCGGCTGGATGAGAAGGTAATACTTTGTACATTTGTTTTGTGCATACATTTCCTTTGCAAACCTTGCAAAGCTTTTATGCCTTTGTGTAAAATGTGAAGCAATATTAGCCTTGGTACAATCCAGGTTAGTTTTATGTCTGCTCCCACAGTCACTACTAATGGTTGGACGGTTAAGCGACTGGGAGCTGATGTAAACTAACCAGATGGGTAACCAGGCTAAAAAAAATGTATGCTTTCCGCAAGTTCCATGGTATAGATTCAATAAATCTATAGGCTTGCCTTCAGACCTTCACAAGTACTCATGTTCTGCATGTTATGACTCTCTTTCATCATAGATATTACATTTTTTTACGCCAAAAAGCAGTTACTCATTAAAGCAACTGGATATGATTTTGGAAACGGTCAGACGTTTCAGCTGGTATCCACTACCTTTCGTCAGTGACTGAGAGACCAGAGGAGAAATGCAGGTTTATAAGCACAAACTATTGATTGATATGCAAATAAGTGAAATATCTGCCCATTACATTTTTTTGTCTCTCGTCCAGATTGCCTGCTGTTCAATTCCGTGACATCGTTGACCGCCTGCTCCAGTTCATCTCAGTACGGCTGTTCCCCCCGAAGCAGGACGAGCTGCCTCCCCTCACCAAATGTGGCTGGTGGATTCCCTCCGCCACCAAAGTCCTGGCTCTCTTCAGTAAGTTTCCTCATAGCATTTTATGCCAACTTCCCTTAGGCTAATGACAATCAAAATTTATTTCATAATGGATGTTTTTTTTCATATTCCAACATGTAATCACAAGACGTGGTGATGGCACACTCAAGTTTTTCAACACGGGACAATACAATAATCATTTTCACCTGAGTGAAGTGAAGAAAGTCTTACTAAGTGCCTTTCCCAAGGACACAAGATTGGTGGCATGTCAGGACTCGAACCCGGGACCTCTTGGTTCCAAGTTGAGCACTCTGCCGTTATGCTATGTGACCCCAGATGTTGTTTTTGTGTGTTCAAACTCTGGTCAGGTCATATTTAAGACTTCTAAAAATACAAGTCAAGCTGGTTTCTTTGCTTAGCACTTAGCACTTTTGAGGTATTGCAGTTAAACACAAAATCTACCCATGGAATAACCTGCTATGTAGTACATTAAAACTTGCACAACTGTGTGGCCAATGGATTATATTCATGGAAATTCCATGGTGCACAGTCCTGTACACCAAATAATGTGGGAAGGATCTTAACTAACTTAAGTTTATTTCTTACAGATGCTGCTAACAACATTTGTGTGCCGATGAAGATTCCCCACTCCCACTTCTACAACAGTGCCTTGGACCACATAGACCTGATGGCAGAGTACATGGCCTGGCAAAACCCTGCCACACACCCAGGGTGAGTACAATGTATCATCATGCAGCTCTTGTAGTACCTTGGTAATTGTGTAGTCACATAGTACGATTTTTGTCATGATTTTCATGTCGTAAAATTTTCAATCAGTCTGTGACTGTAAATCTGAACTGGAAGGAGAGAACATCCATTGTTGGTTGTCGTTGTTGGTTGTCGCTGTTGGTTGTCGTTTTTGATGTTGTGGAATTTCAAGCAGTCTGTGACAGTAAGTCTGAACTGGAAGATGTACGTAGAGAGGCTGGCCGTTGGCTGAACATACAGGAATGCTCTGACTGTCTCATGTGTTGGAAGACACAGAAGCCCCCAAGTAAAAGTTCCAGTTCCAGTTACAGAACAAACTGCCAACAAAGATCTAAGTTGAACTTTGTACAATGCATCCAGAACTGTCCAGACAATGCCTTCAGTTGGCGATTGTTTGAGGATTGTATGGTGAATGTGACATTTAGAAAATAGAGACTCCCATGTACACGTAGAAGTGTGTCACAGAATCAAGTCTAATAATGGTTACAATGTTGAAATTTTAGTAGTCGATTCAAAGTTGCCATCTGTATCTTGTCTCCCTTCCTCATCCGTCCAGCCATCTATCCACCAACCACACAATCATTCTTCCTTCTTTCGCTCCCTCCTCCTCTCCTTCACTCCCTCCATCCTTCCTCAGTCTGTCCATTCCCAGTCATTTGCAATGACCTTCCTCGCTTGCCTGAACTAAAGAACATCTCCTTTCCTCCATTTCCCACCATTTGTGAAGTGGTGACCCCCGAACTCTGTGTGGAGAAATCCACTCAGTCAATGACTGGGACAGCTGTCAGTCGTGTGGACTATGGTAGGTTGTTGTGAAAACAAACAAACAAACAAACAAAGAAAAAAGAAAGAAAGAAATCATGAATACAGGTAATAGTGTATCAGTATTGTTGATACTATTAGATAAACTGTAAAATAAAATGTTCTTTGTGCTTGTCACAGACATGACTGTGACAAAAGTCAAACAGGCAAGAAAGAATGAATGCATGAGAAAGTGCATGACCAAACAGAAACTACTGTACCGGTAATACCTAGTACATGTATGTCATGTGTAAGTACATTTTACCTGGTGGAGGCAAGATGTGATCAGAAATGTCCTATTTCTGTTTGTGCATGTGACAAACCTCCCAATAACCACTGATACTGTGATGTATGAATATGAATCATAGAATGTTAATATGATATTGGTCACATGTTTTTAGAATGTCAGTCAGTCATTATAAACCCTTTGTTGTTTCTAACGACTTTTGTGTTTCTTTAAATGTGTTCCCTTTTCTTTCCTTTTCTGCAGGTTTTCGTTTTGCCAGTACCCCTACATCCTCAGTATAGCAGCCAAAAGAAAAATCTTACAGAGAGACTCTGAACACCAAATGATCATGAATGCTAGGGTGAGTTGTGTGTAAACTATTCCTATTCTAAAAATAAATCTTGCATGCAAAAATAAGGTTCTCCCATCTGAAATAACTCTGGAACTACTAATTATAGTAGGGGCATCATCATTAGATAGCATTAAACAATGTTTAGAGTGAGATGTTCAAAAGCTAGGTGTACATAATAAGTTGTTCGGTGTAAATATAACCAGCTGCCGCAGCGCTGCGTGCCTGCAAAGCTGGTGTGTTATGCTGAAGGGCTGTTATACCGGCTATACAGATAAAGATACGGAATTGACATTGTTAGAAGTTAAGATAGAACCAAGTATTTTTCCTTGTACATTGTATGACAAGCTGAAGGCACTGGAAATGTAACTGCTGTATGTTTTCTCTCGTACGTGTACAGAGGAGTCTTGTACAGAAGGTGCAGAGGAGACAGATGCCAGACATGGGCATGTTATTCCTCAACCTGAACGTCAGGAGGTCCCAGCTGGTCTCAGACTCTGTCAATGAGGTAAGGATCAAGTTCCTTTGAAGAAAGTTTTTATTTACATAGAATAATGTAATTATAGTTTTTAGATTGTTAAGCCACCTTATATGTTGCCGTAGTGTTCTGTCAATGTCTTGTTAGCAGGGCAAGTATAAGCTCCTGGCTAGTTGGGCTGCCCTGGTTGTCAGGGTTGAACAGGCAAACCAAGAAATAAAGTAGTGACTGTAAAAATATCACTACTACTAGTGAACATTAAAGCACACACAGTATGGCACCCTGAATAACAGCAAGTGATTGTCGAGGAATGATATAGTAATTGTTATTAATTTTTTACAGATCATGCAGAAAAGAGGAGACCTCAAGAAGAAACTGAAGGTGAATTTTGTGGGAGAGCCGGGGCTGGACATGGGGGGCCTCACCAAGGAGTGGTTCCTTCTCCTGCTTAAACAGATCTTCCAGCCAGAATACGGTAAACCCCCTTCACACCCTTCATTTTTGTTGGATCTGAAACAACTGCTGGTGTATACAATATAAGGATATGACTTAAGTTAACGATGGTGAATGTAGGATAAATGTAGGATATGGATCAAGAAATATTTTCCTTTTTCAAGAAAGCTAGTTAGCATAGAGGTACTGTAATCCTGTAATTGTACTATAGCAGGTCTATGTTACTATAAATATTGTATTATGGAAGAACATTGTTGACTTCAGAATTGCTCCTTTGTTAGTTATCTCTACGAGAAGTATGTCAGGTACTCAGCTCATATTTAATTCATGCCTGTCTTGGCTTATTATTTTGCAGTGTGTATCTGTTACCATTGACAGGCAACATTATTCTATTCTTTGGCCCAATTAGACATTAAAATTTTACTACTTTGCTTTTATTGTATTTACCTAATTTTGCTCCCAAGGACTAACGATTTGTGTCCCGACCAAGGACTGTTCCATTGAAAAGTTCATGGGGGAGATTTATGAGGAAATTTTATGGAGAATGTTCTCCTTTGTTTTCATTGTTTCTTTTGTAAACAGTGTACGGACAAAAGTCCTAATTCAAAGGATTGAATAACTAAAAGATACTGCAACTACAAACTGACATGCTTTCTCAGTAATTTTATTCAGTGATATATAGTAGCGTATCATTTGTTGTTGTTGGATACTGAAGTTTTCTTTTACACAACCAGTAATATCTCTCACTTGCTTACTTTCTGATGCCTATCAGACATCTTCCACAGAGCTTCTGACTGGATTACTGCTTCTTGCTGCCATACATGTCATGTACAATGTATTTAATAGCCATTTACATAAATGTATAGTGGCAAGAAGCAGTACTCCAGTCAGAAGCTCTGAGACAGGGGTCTGATTAGCCATCAAAACATAGGCATTTGAGAGACAACACAGGTTGTGTAAGAGAAAAATCAAACATCCTATATTTTCTACCAACCTTATGAATTTTTTTGCTGTGTTGTTGTTTTACTTTTAGGGATGTTCACGTATGATGACAAGGCCCACTGTTACTGGTTCAGCAGTATCAAAGTGGACAACTACTCAGAGTTTCATCTGGTTGGAGTTGTATCCTTCAATGTGTACATATCAAAACATCAAACTGAGCAAGATTCAAAACCCAGGTTTCTCTCTACAGAAGCCTTTACTATAACTTCATTATGTGAGCAACGACAGCCACTGAATGTTTTAATAATAATAGACAGAAGTTAATGACTAAAATATGCTGCAAAGCTCCCAGTTAGTACATGCCTCTACTCTTTTCGACATGTGAGCTTGGTTCTTTAATACGTGCGTACACACGTATTAAAGAACCAAGCTCACCTGTCAAAAAGAGTAGAGGCATGTGATGGTCCATAATGGCTCGCCGTTCTATTTACTTCAACGTTCATTATTCATTATTTGATTTGTTAATTTTTTGTCATCACCCTTGTAAATAGTGTTGTTATGATTTCTGTTATTGTTTATTTTGTTTATTATTTATGTAATCCTTATCAGTTTATATTGGTGGGGGCTTTAAAAGGAGTATGTTTCTGTTTCCCCCAACCTTTTACATTTTGTTGTAATAAAGCTGAAATAAATAAATAAATAATGTTATTTCATGTATCTGGAATTTGGTGATTCACTGCAAATCACCCTGGCAAACCCTCGTCTCGTATTTTCCACACGGTGATTTACATGATCACTCTGACAGAGCCCTGGCGACATCATCTTGTATCAGCCAAGGAAAGGGTGTATCACCCTGTAAGGGACACTATAACCCCATCGGAGTGGTATAACTCTGCTAGCTTGATCCCCTTACATATACCCATTAGCTAACTACATATATATGTAAAATGCTGTATCCTACATGTACATGTACATGTATGTCTGTTACCCCTTAACCCTGACCCCCAGTTGATGGGCCTTGCTGTGTACAACAGCATCATCCTGGACATGCGTTTCCCACCCTGCTGCTACAAGAAGCTGCTGTCCCCCGCTGTCGTGCCGTACGGGAACCCTCGCGCTCGCGTCGGCCTCGTTAGTCTCAGTGTGGACGACCTGCAGCAGACCATGCCGGTGGGTGGAGCTATGTTCTTAAAGAACACCTCTGCAAACTTCTTGGTATTATTAATCTTGACACTACTTATTGACAACTACATTCACAAAAGCCTAGAACAGTTCCCAGATGTCTATAAACCTAGTACTTACTTACTTACTTGTGAGACATAAGGCTGGGACTTTTCTGTTTCATCTGGGTCTGTCCTTGGTCACCTTCTTCACTGATCACCAGGACAGTCCCATAGACACCAGGTCATCTGACACAGTTCTTTTAAAGGTGGTTTTACCTGTCTTCTATTTCTTTTTCTATCAGGTCTCCAGTTTAAGGCTGTGAACTTGAAGATCATGAAAACTCAAAATACATGCATGTACATGTACTTACTGAATTGTTCATGTCTTGCTACTTGATTGCAGGACCTCGCTCGTGGTTTGAAGGAGCTGCTTGAGTATGAAGGCAACGTGGAGGAAGATCTCTGCATGACATTCCAGGTTAGTATTATAGTAAGATGGACTTTATGTCCTAATAATGAAGTCCTTAAGAAATAAGCATTAATTTTACTTATCATAACAGCATAAAGCAGGCCTCAAAATCCTTTTTTCTGCATACCTGCATTGGTGTGGGCAAATTAACATTGAAAATTACTGACACCAGATAAATTGCAACTGAACCATTCAAATTTTAGGAAATACTGGTATGGATAGTTAGTGTACATTCAGAAAACTTTGCCATTATTTCTGTTACTGGTGCAGGTAACATTGTAGGTGCAGGTACAGTAGGCACCAGAAATACTAACCCGTAAAGCGCTGTTAAGTACTACAGTGTACTATCAAAATGTTTTACATGGACTGCTATGATTATTGTGTTTTCACAATGCAGCATACATGTAGTTTAGATATGTTGTGATCAATTTTTGTTAGAAATTTTTTTCCTGTGTACATGTAGGTTTCAAGAACAGAGTTTGGAATTGTTAGAACAATGAACTTGAAGCCTGGAGGGGACAAGATACCGGTTACAAATGAAAACAGGGCAGGTAAGGTCTATTGTTGCTTGTAGATGTATGTTGCTTGTTGTAATATGATCTTTTTGTTTGGATCCGCAGCAAAATTACGTTGCTTCAGAAATCATCTGCCATTGCTGAAATTATGCACTTTTTATATTGCTTGTTTCACAAGAAAATAAGTGTAAAGATCATAATTTTACTCTAAGAGGAATTAGTATACTATAATACTTTTGAGTCTTGACATTTTGTTCTTGTTTTCAGAGTTTGTACAGTCCTACGTCAACTGGATTTTGAATGAGTCCATCTACCACCAGTTCAGTGCTTTCTATTATGGTTTCCACGGTGTCTGTGCCTCCAATGCACTATTGGTAAGCACTCAACGGTATTTAGTCTAGAGTCTAAGCATGCCTACAAATTGAATGTACATTGTACAAAAGAAAAACAATGTCAGTTACATTAAAAAAACAATGGTGACTGATGAAAACAACACGTACAATGATTAATTGATGACTTTACCGAATTATTTTTGTTATGATGGTTGGAACCCGATATGTTAGTGAATAATTTATAGAGATCCCGCTCATCAATGTGTCATATTTCTTCATGACAACATCCCCCATTCACGTATGGCCATTTAGTTTATCAAAATGGATGCACAGTTACTTTAAGTGACTTATGATTGTCCGGCAGCAAGTTTTTGGAGATTGGCTTATGCTTGAGTACAAGCAGGGCTTGAAATTCGTTTTTCAGAATACATGTCATAGTTGCCAGTTCAGCTACATGTACATTGTAAATTTGTAATCTGAACATTTAGTTGCACACAAAAAAATTTGGTGCACTAACACAACATAGAAATTGAATTTTTAGCATGTATCACAACAGAGGTGCAGGCACATTGTACAATGTATGTCTGATGTCTACCTGCTCCTAACCTGCACTGGTCCATGTACTGGGTTTATATATTACATGTACATGAAGGTGTATGTGGACTTTTGTTTGCTGCATTGACTGTCACCACCTATGAAGTACATACATTGTGTATATAAAAGAAAGCACCAGTGCAGGTGTGCAGAAAGAAGTATTTCGGACCCTGCAGATAAACTGAAGCTTTGTTTCCTTCCATGCAGCTCCTGCGGCCAGAGGAGGTGGAGACCCTGGTGTGTGGGTCTCCAGAACTGGACATGTTTGCCCTGATGAGGGTCACAGAGTACGAGGGCTACTCCAGAAATGACCCAACCATCAAGTGAGTAGCCAACACATGCAAATCTTGGCTGCATTATTAATACAAGTTTGTCACAAGTTCTTGCCCGAAGGCTAATTGAAGTACATGTACAGTAGAGTACAGCATGAAAATGAAAAGGACAGACAATGGATAACAATTATAGCATGTGACTACTCTATATTTTGATACTAAATTCTAATTTATTGCATCATTAATTGAAGTATTGAATTGCTCTTTCTCCAGCTGCAATGTTTTATCAAAGTTCATGTCAAGAAGTCATATGAACACTTGATTTTAAAAGGATCATTGCAATTAAAGCAGTCCATCATTGTGCACTGCCTCCAATAAGAATTTGTGTATGAACAGTGAAAGGAGGTTTTTGTTATAGTAGTGTTTTATTAAATACAATTTCATGATTGAAACAATTCTATAGTATAGTAGAACTATCCATTTTTGCTAATGAACCAACACATGAAATTGGTGTAGCCTTTAATGTGCAAATACCTGAACTGTTCCACAGGGCGTTCTGGGAGGTTGTGCTGTTCATGCCGGAGCCTCTGCAGAAGAAGTTCCTGCTGTTCTGTACCGGCAGCGACCGGATTCCTGTCGGAGGGATGGCCGAGATGGTCTTCAAGATCGTCAGGATTAACTCCTCCCTCAACATGTGAGTTTTTACTTTTATTCATGCTCAAGCAGGGCTGAAAATACCACCAGCTGCATATTTATTATACATGTGTAAAATTGGAGATGTGCAGGTCTTTCTGATGTCTACCTGCACCTAATCTGCACTAGTCCATTACAGGCGTTGTATACAAAATTAATGTAGGTGCATGTGGATTTTTGCTTGCTGTATTGACATGTACAATGTGTGAAGCATGAAAGAAATAAAGGTAATTTATACTAGTTTCTGTACAGTTTGTAGAAAACGTATTTTGAGCCCTGATAATGAAGCTTGAAATGACCAAGAAAGTGGATGTGTTAACAGATTATGAGACCGGCACTACACTAAAGTGTGCAGTCATCTCTAGCATTCAAAGGGTTAAACTCATTCAATTACATTCACGGATACAGGAAACACTACTTCCAGGAAGTCTTAAACCTCTTGTTTTTTTCTCTACCAGGTTGCCGATTGCCCACACTTGTTTCAACCAGCTGTGCCTTCCTCCCTACAAGAGCAAGAAACATCTGGCCCAGAAACTCCTCATCGCCATTCAGAACGCTGAAGGGTTCGGCCTGGAGTGAGGGACACAAGAGTCCTTAAGGAGGGGGGGGGGGGCAGATGCAGTGCTTGTATTAAGCCACTGTAGTGTAGTGAGGCACAGGAAGGTGAACTTTAATTGCATCTACCAGGCTTCAGAAGTGACTGGAAAGAGTAGAAACTGTCCAAATAGATAGATATTATTAACATACATTTGTACATGACTGTACATTGTACCGGGGGAGTTGCTAAAGGAGTATAGAGCAGCAAACTATACAACATTGTACTTAGTGGACTACATGTACGTGTGTAACTCTTCTGGCCAATTTCTATACTTTACAGCTGCTTCTGAAGACTGGTAGAGGCTACATGTCCAATCACAGTGTGCAAGATTGGAAACCTAGGAAAAGGTTTTCATGCAACTTAAATTAGCTGAAACTAACATTCCATTCATCATCATCATCATCATTCATCCTCCGTAGAGGTGGAGCATACAAAGTTCTGATGTTATCCATAGTGGTAACCCTATGCAATGGTGATGGCCAGAATAAAGTTCTAACTCCAAGCAGGTGTACAAAAATGTATACATTTGTAATATTATGCAATACCAGGAAACAACTAACGCTGTCTTGGTGGCCTTAGATACAAAATCATTCCATATTTTAGTTACCGTTTTCTAAGCTTAGTTCACATTACTTTCTATGCAACAACTGTTACAGTACACAGTCAAGTTGGAGGTGTTTCACAATTGAATGAAACACACATCCAACACTTAATAAAAGCTTCAAGCTGGGATCTTGTATGTGGCTATGCATACATGTGTACATGTACATGTATGCATACATGTGTACATGGACAATGTACTTAGACTGGAAACAGTTGTTACAGAATGCTCGATAAGTCTGCATTGTGCAATTGGATCACATAGATATCAACCTCACTGTTTCAAGTTAGTGTATAGTGTTGACTAAAGCAAAGGATGTAATATATACTTCTGCATGAGTGTACATGTCTTGTTTGACACACACTGTTTCAACAGTGTAGTTGTTTTATGTATATGTGGCTAGCCTTCCTTTTTTCCCTATGGGAAATGTATCTATATACCATTCGGGTTGTGTAAATGTTGTAGATATGTAGATAGAGATTATTGGAATTGCCTGTAACTTTGAACATTCCATACACTATATCTGACGCATACACACACACGCGCGTGCACACACACACACACACATGCACACACCCACCCAAATACACTTAGAGTTTATAGGAAACTACAAACAGTATTTACAAATATTTTGAAGTGCAATATAGCTGTCTTTTAGAAGTGTGTAAAATTATTTGGCTGTGTGCATTAATATCAAAATTATCATGTTGTATATTGATTTCTGTACTTATGACACTGCTGTCTCTTGCAATTATGCATGGCCTCAAAAATATTTTGATCAATATTTATGAAGAGATTTTTTCAAACTATAGCCGTGCATCGTTCAGAGATAGCAAAGTTTTACCATTTTAGTTTTAAACCTTAGTTAATATCTTATAAGTTTATAGGTTTTAGCTTTTCTTGGCAATGTTGCAATGAGTGTTTCCACTTTTTCAATTACAATTGTATGGCATGCATCTTCTATTATTTGGTTTTGTAAGCATACTATCATGTATTTATGTTTTACCATTTAGACTGTCTTTAAATCATGTTTGGCAAAGTCTTTTACAGGCTAGATACATGTATTTGTAACGTTTCGAAAAACCATGTAAAGGGATGACAATCATGAAAATGCAACTGTTAATTTGTACTCATATGCTTCTATGCATGTGAATGACAAGGTGGTCTCTTTATTTGGAGCTTCTGCTGCAGTATTTTAAGTTGTAAAATGAATACGATCATGTGCATGTAAGTTCCTCGAAAAAACATGAGGAAACTTGCAGTTCAAAAGTGAATGCCTACCCTTGGTGGATAAGTCATTTTTTCCCATGCAGCACGTTAAGCTTTGAAAAGCAGAAAATGCATTTTGCTGTTTACCAGAAGGAGCTTAATTTTCACTCAGAAATCCCTCCTAGAAAATACTAGTGTTCCTTATGACACGAAAGGCAATAGCTAAAAGTTGTAAACAATTACACTTCTCTGTGAAACTTCAATGTAAAGTCTACAAATGTATTTTTCTTTTAAATCTGTGGATATTTCTTGTTGCATGTCCATGTGTTAAATGTGTGTCTACAATGTACAACGGTTTGCATCCAGCAGTTTGCTGGAGGGAGATAAAGAACTTATTATTTTGATGTGCAAAACTTTACTTCTCAATAAAGATCAAAAACATATTCTGCTTCTGAATCAGTGACTTACTACTTCCATGTATTGTGTTGTATTTGCAGTGAGCCCGTTTGTTTGCTTGTGTTTCATGCCAGTTACTTTAAAGGGACACGAGGTTCGATAAATCTGTCATTATGTCATGCATGGTACACATTGTATATGTATGTCTGAAAAGTGATTTTCCACACTTAGTTTGTTAGTTCATCATAGTTTAGAGCAATGACAAGCTGATAAACTTTCACCACTTTCCACCGTCGGATGAGAAATGCCAAGAATGGATAGTCGAATGTTGACTTGGTTCTTAAGAACTCTGTGATTACGTCATTGCAAAAATATGGCGGCAGCCACTTTGTGATTGTGAACGCTAGGCGCTAGCCCCAACTTCAAACAACCGGCAGCTACGATGGACTAATGGATTAAGAGTAGAAATCTCTTTTCAGGCATACCTTGCATGACATCCTACATGTAGTTAGTCAAAGGTCCCAGAATGGTCTCAGAAAATTTCCTATTCTCAATTTCCTATTACATGCATGTCTGTTGCCTTCTGGGAGACGGGGAAATCGACAGAAACTCAATGCTATTTACAAAATACATGTTACCCTATTTTTTTTACCCTAACATTGAAGATAGGTACACAAAGCTTTTAGTCTGGTACTACAGTTTATTTATTTTCCTATTTGTACATTCAAGAGTCCAACCATACAACGTTACAAGTGACATCGTCCTAATCTATCTACATGTACATGGCCTTCAAAAAAGTATCAGTATCAAAAGTAACATATACACAAATGTTATGTACAATATATACGGTCTTCTTAATACAAATGTCAATTAGTATTAATAACAATGAAGGCCCTAACTTTCATGTGCTGGTTCATGAAGAAGTGAAGGACAACAAACATTTTGGAAAGTTTAGAAGAAGCAAGATAGAAAAGGGAACATCTTGTGATCAGTCACTGTCTGATGCTACTGTGGCTGAGGACTTCTTTTTCTTCTTGGGTGGTTTGGATCTGACTTCCTCCTGTAGAAAAGGAATATAAATTGTGTTTTGTAAGCAACAGATTAAAGTATGTTGGCATGGTATGACAGTTTCATGTTTGGCACAACAGAAGTTGCCACAAGATATACAACGTGATTGTATAGTGGGTGAAACCTAATGTACAAAGATGGGTACAGACATGTGTACATGTTTGTGTACAGAGGTTTAGTTTTTGAAATGTAAGTTAAAGTCCTGCCTGCAACCATTAGCATGGTCCCATATGGCAACGCCCATCTCTGTGTCTGTAGCCCTTGGGCCACACATCAGTGCAATCGCTACAGCAGGGGGCTAGTCCGCTGGTAGTGGTGTGTGTTTAACACCCACACTCTTTCTCAAATGCTGAGAGCTAAGCAGAGAAAGCAGTATGTACAATACTGTACATGTAGGTCTTTGGTATGACTTGGCCAGGGACCAAATGCAAGGTGAGCACTCTACCCATTGTACCGGTATACATGTACATGTATGAAGGAGACCTTTGATTCCTTGTTGAAGACACCAAAAGGCACCTACCGTGTCACTCTCTGAAGAAGAGTCAGGTTCCCTGGGGGCGGTTCTCTTGGTGGGTTTGGGGCTGGTGTTGGAGACTTTCCTGGTCTTCTGTCTGGTCGGTCTGGAGGAGTCCTCAAAGTCTTCAGCCAGGGCAAACAGGTCACTGAACCTGCATTGTATGAGATGAAATAAAGGTCATCTCCAAGCAGATGTTTTGGTGGCTGCAAAATACAGCATCAAATTGGCCAGGCAGTATCCATTGGCCAGACTGTGTCCATTTGCCACTTGGATACAGTCTGGTCAATGGATACAAGAGTTATATGTTGAAAGGCTAGGTGCAACAGGTTGTTTGGCGTAATATAGCATCTGCCGTCACACTGTATGCCTGCAAAGCTGTGTTACCGTTACCCCAAAGGGTTGGTGCTTATACTGCCTACATTGATACATACATGTATACAAATTATCAATAACCTGACTGATACTAAACTCACTTAGTTTTCAGCATGTCGCTGCAGCTCTGTTGGATGTGCTGGAGGGCCTGGAGGAGGGCTTCCTGCCCAAAAAACTGCAACATAGAGTCAACAACAAATCAGAGACTTCAGAATCAGAGATATCATTTTGTGTTTTTGTGACTTTCAAGTTCACACACCTCCAGGATGTGTTGTGGGTTTTCAAGAAGGTATCAGAACTGCGGAGGGTGTATGTATTACACTGCTTCCTGAATTCCTCCACATACTGCCCACTTACATGTACAATGTACATGGTAGCCTGAAATGTGTTAATTATCATAGTGACGCTGCCAAACTTTATTCCAACACAAAGGCTACACAAGGGTAAAATTTTCAAGGTCCACTGTTGCCTTCTTCAGGATAAGCAATGACCAATCACTTCCAAACATAAACCCGCAAAATGTACACACACAAAAATTTGGAGGTACGTGTTTCTACCTTTCAAAAACAGTCACTGATTGAAGAATATTCTACTAACTGATAAACCCACAAGAGTTACGATTACAGACACGTGACCTTATTCACACAAGACTTTACAGATATGTGACAAACTGGCACCTTTAAAAATCCCTGTGACAATAAACTGTGTGCTTCCCTCCAAGGCAAGCTTCTGTCATTTTTGTTTATATTATATTAACCACTCCCATGTCAGAGGTGACACTAACTGTCTTGATGTTGCAATGGTCTGTCTGACTCACAATAAGCCGAAGTGAAAAGACGAGTTCTACTTCATTCCACACAGAAGAGATTCCGAGGCGGATCGTAGCTGAACTATCTCTAACATTGGTGTCTGATTTGTGCTGATTTTCTGCACAGGTGGGAATATATTCATTGTATTCTGAATTTTAAATCTCTGAGGAAGGTTTGCCCACGCTACATAGCTACACTTTATCAGTTCACTCAGTGTGCAACAGGGAAACTTTTAGAAACCCAGATGTGGTAACACGGCTGTTAACTTTGAAAAGACTAGTTAGAATAGTTTTAGTCACTAGGCTTTCTCTCAACACTGAATGCTTCTTTGAGGGTTCAACTACAACGTATTACCATGTACCATGGAGTTAGAAGGGTATTACACTTTGTTGGGCAAGTAGACTTGAAAATACTCGTAACACTACGTGGCAAAGTGTGGGCAATGGGTGGGGTTAACATGTCTAGACATCCTGATGTGCTATCATGGCTGTTAACACTTGTTTGAAGAGTAGTCAAACAGTTTTATTGAAAGTTTTAGGTTTTGTCTCACTGTATGCTTCTTCTGGGGTTCAACTACAACGTGGTACGTGGACTAAAATTTTGTTCAGAGAGTTTTGTTGGGCAAGTAGACGGAGAAAATACACATAACGCTACGTGGCAAGGTGTGGGCAATGGGTGGGGTAAGAACATGTAACAGACGTGACCAGATTACATATTAGTGTCAGTTACAGTTAGTGCATTATCTATGTTTAATCAAAGACATAAACCTACTTGGGCGAAAGACATAAACCTAATTGAGACTGTACTGTACTTCATCCAAAATGTTGAAGTTGGGTGAGTGCTAACTGCATTCATGTACAATGTAGGTACCAGACAAGAATGTCAAATTCTTTTTCTAAATACACAAAAATAGAAATTTGCAACTGCGCCATCAGAGATCACGTGACACTGTTGCATCATTCATGCAAGCTACTTGTATGATGTTTATCGTGCCAAAAAGTGGCCCCTCCTATGTCTGAAAGGTGCAAGTTCATAGTTCAAAAGTCACTCAGCGAAGTGAAAAAACAGGTTTGACATGATTTCATGTAGGAGTAATTGTATGTGACCTCACGTGTGGCCTTTCATGTCAGTCTAGACGTGTTGTTAGACGCTTTTGCTACTGCTATGTGGTTGAGATTTAAGTGCATGATCTGTTGTAAAGCTTCAGTTCTAGAACTTAGCAAAGAGCATAGAGATGTTTACTGATTCAGAATATGGTAATGATATGTAAAGATTCCCTTAGGCAGAGTTTGCATTTAGATTGGGCAACTAACTTTTACGTTATTTATATTATAAGGCCACACTGACTTAATTTTATGGATGACATCCTCTGAAGACCCCCAATCTAGTGCGCATGGGTGAATAAAAAAATTTCCAGCCAAAGAAATGCTGCTAAACCACAGGAATACAAAGCTGGCATTGCAGACTTGTGGTAGTACATAGTGACTTTTAGTAATTTTTACGACAAGCTAAGTACATGTACTACTGAGTTACAGAGTTTCGTGGGGCCTCGGTAGCTTACTTGGTTCCTGCCAGCTTCCTATTGTCGCTAACTACCATGTACTACAGAGGATGACACCCAGGCCAGAGCCTCGGAAGTGTGGCCTAATCACCAACTTTTTAATGTAATCAGTATCTGGCACCTGAAATTTTGCCTAATTCTGGGTCAACACGGACCAGTCAAGAGAAGTCAACACCAAAAAAGTAACTCAAACTGTCACCAGTCTGAAAGGTGGGCTCAACAGACTGGCACAATTACATGTAACTAACAGTAACTACTATCTTGTGTAGGGCAAAGATGAAGGGATCCCTGAAACTCGTGCTCCTGTTGGTCACCTTGGCGGTGCTGATATCGACTGCTGATGCCCGTTCCCAGGGGCCGCGACGACAACATTCGGGCCGCAGCCGGGCGCAATCCTCGTGACTTGGCACCAGGTACTGTTACAGTAGGACATGCGTCATCCCAAATCTTATATACAATCAATGCAGTAGTCAAAGGAAGTGAGAGGGAAAATCTTGGCTGAAGGCTTTACAGCACCAAGGGAAGTTGAAACTGTAAAACCTGCATTAACACCACCATGCCACAGTATGCTCCAAGCCTATGTAGAGTACTTGGTCATCAGGGCTATATTGAATCCTTAAAACTTAATTTTCTGCCCACAGTAGTGGCAGAAGGCCATTCAGCACCGAGGAAACAGCCTTTGTTTTATGCAATTTCGGGGTAGCAAAACTGGATTTTCGAAGTCAACTTTCTGGTTATTCTAACTTTTAAAGTTAGTAGTAAGTTGAATCAATCCTATCCCTTAGCAAACAAATACAAGTACTATGCCATAGCAGAAGTAACAAGGTCCCAAACTAGACTGTACTCTGCAACTTCACCTTGCTAATCGTCAAGCAGATGTGGAAAGGTAAAATTATTACATAGGAAGGCGCCATGATCAGGAGACTAGGATTGTAACATTGACTGTTCATGCTCCCCAGTTGTTGCCCAGGGGAAAGACAAGGCGGAGAAGAAGACTGGCAATCTGCTCCTCGCCAGGCTGAAAAGGGCTCGTAAGTCTACAACATTTTTCTCTGATTTCTGAATTAATTTCTTTTATTGTCATTTACTGTTACGAGCAAGCTTTTATTAAAAAATCACCAGTTCTTTCTTCATCACTTTTTTCGTGACTGTTCACCTACAATGTACAAAATTAATGTATGTCCAATGTAACATACAGTCATCAGTGTTCGAATACCTGCCTGCAGTCTGCAATCTGCAGATAGATTTTCAAGATTGCAGAAGAAAAAATTATACAATCTGCAATTTTACAGAAGGAAAAATAGGCTCCAGATTCATTAGCTTTCAATTTAGCAAACTAAAACTTCCAGGCCCCAGGGACAGACTGTTCTGAAACAACAGGAGCTTCTTCACTAATTTGCATCATCCTTGTCTTGACTTGTCTAACTTTTGTTTCCTTTTGGACTTCCAAAAAATTGTCTTCACTAATTTGCATATCAATCCATAGTTCATGCTTATAAACCTGAAATTCTCCTGCAGTCTAGTAATGCTACTGTACAGATTTACAAAGCTATATATGATGTAAAAAGGAATTACTGTTTTGAGAAGGTTGTAGTATGGAGGCATGTGTATTTGCATGCAGAAAGTATTTCCAAATTGCAGAACAAAATTTTGACTCTTCTGCAATATTGCAGAGTACTGAAAAAAAGTATTTCGACCACTGGTCATGTACAGTACAATAAATCCAGTTGATACTGAAATACAATGCTCTTCAACCCCCCAGCTTGTAACTGTTGGGAACACCCTAGTTGCTGTAGCGGTTTGGCATGAAGGATGAAGAGACGCCATCATCCAGTGCTACGCATGCTTCACAGCGCACAGACGTCATCCATGAAAATTACTTTGTTTATTTGTTTATTAAAATTTTCCAGCACATGCATGGAGGGGGAGGGAGAACAAGTGGGTCACCTTTACCAGCTCCCTCCCCTAATTACATCAATAAAAACAGTATTAAACAGCATTGGATTTAAACACATTATGAAAGCAATACATAAACATACATACAAAAATATGGACATTAATAAATCAAATATCATTCTACGTAAACCCCCAAGACCCAAATTGGCCTAACCAAGCTCAAAGGCGCAATATTGTCAGAGGCGCACAGTTTGCCTTGCCGCGTTTTTAAGTCAGCTTCAGCTACAGCACAAACTGCTTGTTGTAGAAATCATCAGAAGCCACGGTTTCATGTTAAGCATTTCATAAGCAAGAAACTTGTCAACATCCAGCTGTTATTGTAATCCAGACAATGATGAATTATAATACATTCATAAAGAATTCATTCATTCATTCACCTTTATCAGGAAAATAAATAACCAGTCACTTCGAATCAATCGCTGATGCTGGTGCACAAGTTCATAAAGTCTTCTGTGAATAAGGTCACCGTAACAGGCGTAACTCTCATGGGTTTTTGTCGGGAAGTGATTGTCATTAAGTATCCTAGTAGGGTCGACACTGGTTGTTAAAAATTTGATCCTTGTGTTCTTAATACCCCTTTTTGTTGGAATGAAGTTCAGCATTGTACTACAAACAACAATTAATCTTACAAGAAGTAGGACTCACATGTCTGCCTCGGTGTGTAACCATGACTCTTGCAGGTTTATGAAGGCAACCGCACGTGGTCACTGAAAGTTTGATCCTTGTGTACTACCCTTTTTGTTGGAATGAAGTTCTAAACCTAATAGGTTACCAAACCTATTGTAGCTCCTGAGTCCTACATCCTCTCCGCAAATAGTTTGCACAGAGGATGTACATGTAGGACTCGGGAGCTATGATAGGTTTGGTAAGTATGCTATGAAGTTCAGCATTGTACTACAAACAACAAGTACTTAAGAAAGTGGGAGTCACATGTCTGCCTCGGTGTGTCTGTAACCATGACTCTTGCAGGTTCATGAAGGCAACTGTACATGGTCACTCAAAGTTTGATCCTTGTGTACTACCCTTCGTGTTGGAATGAAGTTCAACATCGTACTCAGGCCACAAAATTAACTTTCTTCCTATTCTGTCCCAGAACTGTCCCTAAAATAAATTTCAACTGTCCCGAACTGAGGATGAACTTTCCCAACCTGTTTTTTGGAAGTATTGTATGACTTCAACTTTATTTTGCTTACGTTCTGACTCCCAGGTGCACAATAATTGCAAAGCAGACAGGAAATTTGAGGGGACTTTTCCGGAGCCAAAAACCGGGACGTGTGCCTGGTAAACAAAAGAAGGGTTGATATTCTGCAGTTGATTATTTTTCTATTGTCCCCAAAATGTCCCAAAGTGTCTTTTTAGTTGTCGCGGCAAAACTTTTAGTGGTCAGTGGCAATCGGGACACCGTTAATTTCGAGCCCTGGTACTACATGTACGAACAACAATTACTTGATTAGTAGTACTCACATGTCTGCCTGGGCGTGCACACCTGTCGCAGGTTGTCCAGGTGTCCCAGCACCTGGTGCGTTGTCGGGGTCGGCTGTCGACTACTCGTACTTCTGAAAATGCAAAAATCTGTCTGATCCAAAAGCTGGCAGCTCGGAGATCACGCACGAAATACAAGCTCCAGCCGGCAACTCTACATAGTTCTCCGTGGAGCTTCCATTGCGTGCGATCTACGTTTGATCAGAAAAAAAAAAGATCGATCCCAGAACGCCTCAAAAGGAGGCTAGGAGATCATGCACCAGGGCTCTAGTCAGGACCAGTTTTTCCATCAATTACCGGAACTCTGTGGCATGTGACAGACATTTTTTTAAACCAATCTGTCAACCTTGACAGACAAAACTGGCAAAAATCCTGGGTAAAAATATGAAAACATCCAAAAGACCACCAACAACTACTCTCAACACCATTTAAGGCCTCTCAAAATGTGGAAAATTGCATTTTTGAAGGCTTGAAAATCTAAAATTTCCCCGGAAGCATGCCTCCGGATCCCCTAAATTGCGAGCGCCTACCACATTCCCCTCCCCAAATCTAATGATGAACCTAGGCTGACAGATAAAAATTTCAAGATGGCTAGAGCCCTGTCATGCACTAGACAAAAATTTTTATTGTACACCCTGTTTAAGCTAGAGGCTACCACAGAGGATTTGACAGGTCGCTTAGCAAATTGCATAAAATAAAAGAGCAAGCTCTGAGAAGCTGTGTGTGTTTTGTTGTCTTTTAAATCATACTTTTACCTCTTTACATCTTCCAACTAGTAATACATGTAGTATGAAGTCAGGGTCAACCAAATCCTAAAGAAAGAAATACATCTGACAGTGGGCAAAATTCTGAAAAAAGATGCAACACCCAACAAAAACCGTGAAAAATCCTTGTTTTGCAGAGGCACAGTATGTTCTGCTGACACTCAAAACGATACTTCCACACACGTAAGGAATGACAATCATATAGAGAACCATTGCATTGTCCAACTAGCACACCAGCAAAACACATTGCGGCTCCGCGAACCACAATGTATTGTGCACTTTGCCAGAAAGTCTCATTTAAACGTCATCCCCTCTATGCTGTAGTTTTCAAATGTTGTGTCAGAAAAGATATCATCTGCAATAGCCAAACTTCTAAAGCATCATTGACAGAACATCCAACAAAATCCAGGAGTAATACATGATTGTACGTTCTACTGACGTGCTTGCAGTGTCGGACTTCAACTTCACCTTTTACTCTTCCTGGTTGGGGTGCTGCTGCTGAACTTGAAGACCATGGACTTGACCAGGTCGGCGAGCCGTTCCTCGTGGTCCAGCGACCACTGCCGCAGGATACAGGTGGTGAAGTGGTCCTGCTCACTACAATCACGGATCATCACGTAACGAACCATCTCTAATGTTGGTCTGCATAGGGAAGTCATTTGTTAGACTTGTGATGAATAAATGAATGAATGAATGAATGAATGGATGGATGGATGGATGGATGGGGTGTGGAATGTGGTGAAGTGGTCCTGCTCGCTACAGTATCGAATCATCATGTAAGGAATCATCTCCAACGTCAGTCTGCGGAAGGTAGTTGCAAATCTTAAAAAAACAACAACTTAAAACTGTAACATTGTTACAGTAATAAAATGGATTTTGAATGAATGGATGAACAGGTCTATTTTAGTAGCCTGACAACATCACGCTAATTGGAGCAGGCCTTCCACTGGCAAGACTATCAACAGCATACATGTACATGTACATTGTACATATTCATGAACTGTATACAATTGCACACACACACACACACAAGCACGCACACACACGCACAAACTTACCTTTCTACCTTCAGCATTAATAATGTGTTGGTCAGGGCCTCTGAATGGTCTGAAATAACATAAATAACAGAATTAATTCTGAAGTCACATTTGCATATTTAAGTCCTATCAACCTATGTGAAAAGTTTAAAAGTTCCTTTCCTGGTGTACAGAATATGTATATTTTTCTCCTCTATTGCATGTGTCACTGGGTATTTTTTTGTGGTATTTTTACTTTTCTCATTAAATTTGTGTAAATTCTTTGTTCAGAACTTCCTTCCATACACATACATTTTTGTACTATTAGATAAGTCTCTGATAGCTACAAAGACATGGATATTTCTATGAGTAACAGTATCTTTCCCAGTCTACCCACCTTTATAGTTAGCCTTCTGTAGGATGGGAAGAACTGCCTCCACTGGGATGTCATGAGCCAGGAACAGCTGCCACACTGCGTACTGCTCAAAACTCTCCCAGTTCAGACTCGCCACTGGAATGTCAAAGGTTAACTTTGTACATGTGTGTAAAGGTAAACTATTAATCTCCAAGCAGATCCTTTGGTGGCTGCAAAGACAGTATCAAATTGGCAAGGCTGTATCCATTTGCCAGGCAATGGCTGGCGTATAAAAAGGTAAAAAAAAAAATAGAGCCTAGTAAAAACACCACATCATCTGAATCCATTGTTCTCTGACTTGAAAAAAACTCAATAATATATAACATTACATGTAGGATAACAGCACGAGAACAAGCTAAAGGGAAAGAAGTCTGAACTTTGGTCCACACATTTTCAGAGGGTGTCTACATGTAAATAGTCTTATAATATCCATACTCTTCGGTGTGTCTGTTTGTGTGTTTGCTTCCCAGAGAAAAATCTCATTTCCTATCTTTCATTTGAATGTATACAGTATAGGACTGATAAGTACATGTAACTGTACTTACAGAGAACATTTGCAACAGATTCCTTTCTAAATGTAGTCAGGTTTCCCAGCATGACTTGGAACACCAGTTCTTGTAGCTGAAACAAATACAAAGCATGAAAAAACAACAGCACAACATTCCTTCTCAAATCTTTTTTTTCACATTTCCTTTGAATTTTTATGATTCATAGAGGTATGTACAAAATGTACATATGTATCTGGTATTGAAAATATTGTAGCATGATAAAATGTAGCAGATTATTTGTGGACTATGCATTCCATCTAATCAAAAGTACTTACTAAAGTATATTAATTTTATAATTTGTTTGTTAACGGGGTAGTTTACTACTAACCTGAGCTGGGTCGATGACTGCAACTATTAGGTTAAGAAGCTCCGTGTTTCCAACAGAAACATTGGGGAACTGGAAAATAAGGCACAAAATCAGGAAAACTATCAACTAATTCTCATCAATTAATGAGTGCCCTCTAACATAGAGTGATCATAACAATTTTTTGGAGTCTGTATACACTACTGTAATTGTAAATTATCGTCTTAAATTCATCTTTTAAGATGTACCTATACCTTAAAAGGACTAGATTTTTAAAAGAATTTCAGACTTACCTGAGTGTAGACAAAAGGTACCAGGTAACACAACAGGGAAATGTCGTTGTCTTGGCATTCCTGGGAGAGAACAATTGTGACAGAAGCATTTAGCATTTTACATATGATATAGAATCTGTACATCATACAATCAATAAGTTGACATAAACTTCAAAATGTTAAGGAAACTAAGGGTTTAAAAAACTTTGTTTTTGAACCCGTAGACCAAAAAAAAATCAGTATCTCATTAAAATTAAATGAGGTCTTGAAAAAGTTTCTAACCTTAATGTCCATCATGAGACATGTTTCCAGATCTCTGAGTTGGGTGTGGTCACTGAAGTCTTCATACACTCTGGCCTTGTCTTCTGTCACCTTACTGAACCAGAAACAGACAGAGAAACATTGTGAACCAAGTTGGGAACTGTATTTTCACACAAGAAATTGGACTTACCCCAAATTTTTGACTGTACAACTTGGTGAAGTACATGTATCTCGTACAAAAAAGGGGGTCACCCTAGTTTAGGTTCATCCTGGTTTAGGGTCACCCTACATGTAGTTTAGGGCTGCAAACTTGGGGCTAGGCAAAGGAGTACAGAAACATGCCAACCTCGCGTTCACTGAATGTTATTTGAACATTTACCTACATGTAAGGTACCCAAAGTGTAGCTCCCTGTTATGACAATCCTTCCACAAATGTGGCAAATCTTAATAAACAAACAAACAAAGAAACAAACAAATAAACAACAGTTTGTGCTGTGACAGTTACCTGACAGACAGATAGTAGAGTAGGTGGTAGCCGAGTCTGGGCTGGCGCTGGTATAACTTGTCCATCAGTGTGTACAGGATCTCCACACTTGGGTACGAGTCCTCAGACATCTGACACAGGTTTCTGATCAACGGAATCACAGCATGAAGGTTAGACATCCAGGTGATGAGATACACAAGGAAATTCTTACTGATGCAACTGGATAGATTTTGAAAACTGTCAGACATTTCAAGTAGAAGCTCATTCCTTCAAACTACTGGTACTGCCTAGTAGATAGCAAAAAGAAAAACATTGACAATGTCATTCCAAGTAATAAAACTGAGAACATTTCTGCCCTTACCTGAAAATGACGTAGACTGGCTTTTCAATCGACTCAAGAATGGACCTAGAAAAAGTCAATGGCATAATATTTTTTTAGTTCAGACTATAAATAACTTTCACAATTCATATCAAATCATATTGTATCATATCACATCATATCATATTGCATCATATCAATATCACATGCAGTATTTCATTTCAATAGCTTGTGTCAATAACTTGTTAACAGTAAAACAAATCTTATATGCTCATTTGTACAATACATGTATTATACATACATTTTATATTTACTAACAGGTTGCCTTAATAATTGTACCAATGCAAGTACAAATGAATATACAATGCATATTGTGACGTGAATTCATTAAAAATGTAACTAATAGACATAAGTCCCTTACTCTTGTGTAGCTTCAGCAGGTAAGACTTTTCCTGACAACTGTTTCCTGAACAACTCCGACAGACAGTCAGCGAGGGGTGACGCAACTTCACTCTCAAAATCCTCCTGAAGAAACAATATTGTCATCACAAAGGTTTTAATATTCTCCAGGCATACAAAAATGTAAAATCCATACATGCAGGGGAAAGCCAGCATTTTTAGCATTAGTACACTAAGCCTAAAGACTGGACTTATTCTATCTGTCTGTTATTTTAAATATTTGTTCATAACTTGGACAAACCTGCTGATTTACCTAACCTGCATACTCCAATCAGCAGAGGCCCTGCTCATGCCACAGTGATTGAATTAGCTGCTCATTACGTGCAAGACATAATCACCAGATCGATACATGTAGCCTTAACTGTGTGGCATTCTCTTCCTCTCACCATTTGTAAGATGGTCTCCACGATTTTGTCCACCACTTCACACTGGGCTTCTGTGTCCTGGGAAATATCACTGGAGGAGAAATATGGAAGCAGACGACACTGGATCAGTGATTATATACAGTCAAATGCATGTTCACTAAATTAATGCAGAACCTAAGAAAGCTTCATGACAGCTTACATTTTGTAAACACTGGAATCCTCCAAAAATCAAGCCAGAGTGAGGCCCTCAAGCATACATCTTGCAAATTACTGTATTACGGTCTGTAAATTCATTTATTTTCCTGGAGATTTTCAAAGTGGAAGAGTGGAAAGGAGGTTTCGCTGTTTTAACACTTAAAAGTTTGCAATAATTTGATGTTGAACGGTTCTAAATACAAACTATGCAGCTTCAGATTAGCCTCAGTGCATCCTTCATAGTTATTGCCGGCTCCTTACTGCTGGCTTATCGCTGGCTACCAGATGTCTTAATGAAGGCAATGTGACAGATGTCGGTTAGCTTGAGGAATGAATCCACTCTACTTTAACACTACCTGTCTGCCTGTAGTTGCACCACCAGGTCCCTCAGTTCGCTGTCCCGTGCCAGCTGTCTCAGGGGGTCTGAGATGTCCACCGTCGATTCGTCCACTTCCTTGATTGGTCGGAACTTCCAGTGCACCTTGCCTGTCAATCCAAAAACTTTCTGTTATGAATTTGCAAACCTTCCTTCCTTTCTTTTCTTTTTCTTCTGGGTAGGGAAGCATTGTTTTGGGTGGCTGAGTTGTGAGTTTGTGTATCTGTATTAGGCCATGATGAAAGTCCCTGACAGTGTACTTTTCTCAAGTCAATAAAGAATCAATTTATACACTGTATCTTTGTTATACATTTTGTCTTACCTCTTCCCCCAAACCTCACTGAAAAGCAGCCTGCAGGCTGATTTGAGCTTCCCAGGAATAAACAATGGTTAAAACAAACAAACATACAAACAAACAAGAATGCTATCTTACCCCCAACCTCCTCTTCCTCGTCGTCGCTGAAGGCCACCTCTCCCACGTACTCCCTGTCGTTGTTTTTGTCGTTGTCTGAACTGATGAGAACGACCTCTGGCTTCACGAGGAGCGGTTCTTCTACAGGAACTTTAGCCGCTGACGCTGAGATTAAACAAGAATAGCGAAGACTTTTAAAATCTATTCTTTTCACATAGAATATACACTCTGAAGTCACTTTTTACTTTCAATGTACATTTCCTAACATGGTCTATTGTCACAGACAGTTACGGTAACTATAGTGTGTAACGTCTATTACCGGTAAACATAATTTCAACAGGTAACATATATATATATATATATATATATATATGTGACACCATGAAAACATGGCACATTAAGATTTACTATACTGTAAAACATGACATGCACTTGGAAACTAATTATAAACAAGGTTTGACAACTGCAAATATACAGGCAAACAAAATCGCGATGCAGTATAAAATAGGCCAATTTGTAGTTGTTCTATACTAGTTAACAATACTGGGTACTCAATACATTTAACAGCCAACCCAAAAAGACCAGTAGATAGAAAAAGTTATCAAGAAGATGAAATGAAAAAAAGCGCCCCCTTGTCGTTCTAAGCGGCATGACAGTCACCCACCTGTTGCTGTACAGAACTCAGAAAACTTGTCTCTGATCATGACCCTCAGGTCTTTGTCAAGCTTCGGGTTGTCAAACAATGGAGACAGGGACCTAATATGGGAATATCAATCAATCAATCAACCAATCAATCAATCAATCAATCAATCAATCAATCAATCAATCAATCAATGACTTACACTTACATGTACTTTACACAAAGGGCATTATGCATTTCAAAGGAATTACAGTACAGTATTAAGATAATAATAATATTGTATTGCATAAGTATGCAGTACTGTCAACTTTTCTTAGTTATGAGTAAATCTAACACCATTCACTATTTGGTATTCAGAAACCAAATTAAGTTACGTGACAGAACATACAAAGTGTAATAAATAACTAAAAGATATTTGCATAAAAATAACTTGACTTTTTGTAATAGTAAGTTGACTTACGGTAGAACCCTTTTCTCTAAGATCTGTCTCAGGGAGGTGTGGATCCCTTGTCTCACCTGGGCTTCGTACGGTGGGAAGAAGTTTGGAATGATCTGAAAGACAAGGAGACAGCTTAATAAACATTCTTCTTGCCTTTTGGCACCAAATTAGTGGTCATCATGATTGGGCATTCTCCTCCAGAGCTTGTGGTCATACACCTGGAGAGAACCATTCCCATTCTCAGAACTACCAATAGGTGCTCAGATTCTTTATCACTATGGCAACCACTGTCCAATAGGAGCTCAGGATTCTCTGTCACCATGGAAACCAGTCATCACAGTCTCAGATAGTATGGTAACACACAGTTCCCAGTCCCTGCGAGACAGAAACTGACAGGTGCTGCAATTCTCAGCTTCCTGAATTTCCCCCCATATCGACCTCTATTTCCAGATGCCCCCCGTGCGAGATTTTGGGACCTTAAAGTTCACCTCATTTCTTGTGTCTGACCTTTTAACCTGCCATTCTGTCTGTCAATCTTCCCCAACCCACATGCTGTCAACCTATATGTATAGCTTAGCTACCAAAAACAAGACTTCTTTCCTTGGAAGTAAAGAAAGAAAAAGTAGTCACCTACCCGACACAGGAAGTCTAGAAGTGTAGCAGTGATGTGTGGATGGGAGCGTAGAGAATGGTGCATCACTAAAATGGCTGGTTCTAGAAGGGAAGAAAAAAAGCTATTAGTTGATCATAACTTACTTCAAGTTATCTTTATCTTCAGTACTTGCGTAGAAAATGGGGGTGAAATTCTTTGCAACTACTTCGGCATCTTAGATGGCTCTAGTTACATTCTAAAAGTTACATGTACAAATGTAAATTGTACAAGGGTTTTCATATGGGAAAAAAACTACAGTGTAGATTCATTTATTTTTGTTGTGACTTCTGTAAAAGGGAAAGGAGCTTATTTGAAGCGTTTTAAGTTCACAGTTGAAGCAATTCTGTAGTATAATAGTCATCTATTGGCATATTCACCGTGTTGTAATTTGCTGTTAAGAGTTTGCTGAAAAAAATGTGAAAATAAAAACAAAAGAAACATTTCAAGATTTCCAGCACATATGAAAAGACAACAGACATACCTATATTCATGATGCTGTCCTTGTCAGGCTGGTAGAACAACCAATCGTAGAACAGCGACAGTTTGGCGTTGGACGCTGCAACATTGGACTGTAAGAAAAAAAATTAAGTCAACTTTGAACACTTGTGACAAATTCCATCTGGCAAACTACTAGTTTTTGAACACCTCAATCCTTGGTTAGGCCTGGCCTGGGTGCCATCCTCCATAGTCCATGGTAGCCAGTGACAGTAGGGAGTTTGGCACCCGGGCCGCTGAAGCTCCACAGAACTCTAGTCTAGAACTCAGTATGTCACAGAAAGCCAGCATGTGCCAGCTTGTCGTAAAAGTAGTTGTGTACCACCACCAATTCACAACACCAGCTTTGTATTCCTGTGGTTTAGCAGCATTTTGGGAATTTTGTATTTGCCCACACGCATTAGTTTGGGGGTCTTAATAGGATGTCATCCATAAAATTAAGTCAATGTGGCCTAAGGTGCACATGCACCCAGTATTTTGAGCCCCTGTGGGCAAACACGTTACCTTGCAGGACATGAGCAGCCAGCCAATGAGAGCCCAGCGCGGGACGATGTCGGAACACAGGATCTCGTTGGAGGGATGGATGACGCCGCAGATGTAGCGAATCAGGTCACAGCGCAGGGACTGGCTCTCTGGAGTACTCAAGTACTGTGGGTGGAGTAGTAGAAATAGTAGTAGAATGGTTTATATGTCTAAAATGACTGCCATAGAGCTGAACTGTCTAGCCTGGAATCCATCCGTACAGGTGGCGGTGACTCATAGACTAAGTCTTGTAGGGCTGGATTCCAGGCTAGAATATTGTCAGGGTTGAATACACAATATTATATTATATTATACAAAGACACATTATAAGGGAGCACATTGCAATTGTCCTCAGTATCAAGCATTGCAACACATTTACACTATGCGAAGGGTGAATAATTAGGGGTACTTTCGAAGATTACTCTTACTGGTCCTCCTCTATGTACCAACTTTCAATCAATTAACCATCTAGTCACAATCATTTACAGATACAGATGCAGATTTATGTGAAAATGTCTTGAACTGTTCTAACCTGTCTCTGAAACCAGTCTTGGTATCTCTGTTGTTGACCAAATCGAACCTACAGATTGAAACAAAAGTCATGAAGCCTGTATATAACATTTTAATTAACATCAAAGGGCACAAAGTGTGCATCACAAAAACAGATGTGCAATAAACAATACCTTAAGAATTTGGTACCTAGAAGTCAAAATATACAAAAGAAAGAACTGATGCAATCTAAGCACTGACATTACAATTTGATTTCTCAGGAACAGAAACTGACACAAACCTTAGAGGTGAGGAAAAGTAGTTTGTTCTCCATCTCTGGAGTCAGTCGGCAGGCCAGGAACTTACGCGATGTTCGTAACGTCATCAGCTGAGACAGTCCTGGAGAAACGCACGCAACACAAATTTACAAAGGCAATTTTAACATGTGAAAGCATGCAAAGTTATTTAATTTACACAGTGTCATTACAAAAGGCAATTCCAAAGACAAAGGAGGTTCAAAAGTATGTTAATAATGTCCTAAAAAAATCAAAATAAGTCTTGTGGACATTGCATCAGAAGTTTGCCCATGTCTTCAAAATCAGGTACAAAATCTAAGCACCCTCTGTCCCTAAAACTAAGTAATAAAAGAATCCATAAACATGCTTAAAATTTTTCTACATTTTTATGGAGGCGCACTTTCCGTTGAATGCCTGGGACCCAGCCCTTAAAAGACTCTGTAAACATTCCAACAAAACTTCTTTGGACCTTTGTATTTCTACATTATAATGGAGGTTTACTTGCCTGTGAACTGGTGGCTGAGTGTCTGTGGGTTTGTGATCATGTCTCTCCACAGACGCTCGAACTCCGGGATACGGGCAACGTGCTGCAGGAGCCGGATCAGGTCCCGACCAATCACAGAGCAGTCTGTCCACTGTGAGGAATGACAGAATTCAAATTAGACCAATCACAGCAAAGTGTGTCAACTGTTATTTCAAAGCAGACCAATCACAGCAAAGTGTGTCCACTGTTATTTCAGATCAGACCAATCACAGCAAAGTGTGTCCACTGTTATTTCAAAGCAGACCAATCACGGAGCAGTCTGTCCATTGTGAGGAATGACACTCACTTCAAACGAGACCAATCACAGCTAAGTGTGTCTATTGACAGAAATGACAGTTTTCAAATCAGACCATTTTTAAACAATGAGAGAAAATCGAATCAGAGCAATCACAGCAAAGTTTGACTGTGTCTGTGAGAAACGAAAAAGCAGATGTGAAAAGATAAATTAATCATTTATATAATCTATAGTCTACAGAATGCACACTAACAAATCAACCTTTACAAAAGTATAATACAGGTTACAAAATGTACTACAGACCCTTTCTCTGAGTAGTGCCACACAAAAGTCCACTTCCTTCTGCCTGAGCGTAGCTAAGGCCTGAGCTCCATGGTCCTCCACTAGTCGTAGGTACGTGTAGACAGAGATGGACACCAACACGGGGTGTTTGTCCAGCCACGGTCTAACATAGGGGAAAACATAAGACAAAAATTTACATGTAAATTGTTTAGTGTCTTAACAGACCAACCTAAGGCCACACCAATTTAATTTGTTGGTTCTCGGATTCGCCCCTTCGTTTTTTTCTGATTTGCAAAAAAAAAAAAAAATATATGATTCTGGTTCTGAATCAACTGAAAAATGCTCATGTTTTGCCCCCAACAGTTGAGGAAAGTCCTTTTCTTCCTACATTGTAGTTGTTACAGTTTTCCCATCTATCATTGCAGTGGTTTGATTAAAAGTTCAAAATTCAATGTTTAAATTTTGACCCAGCCTTTTGTGTTGACTTCATGGCTCATTTCGTAGCATTTAAGCCTATAATAGGATGCCTAGACCTGTTTTTATTTTTTATTTTTTTCGCCCTGTCGCTTCATATTTTTTCTGAAAAAATCCGAGAACCAACAAATTAAATTGGTGTGGCCTAAGGCTGAATTGGTATTCACAAATAGGTGTACTACTTGTATCTCAAAATGTACTTTGGTAACTTAACCTCTTCAGAATTCTAACTGTGAGGAAATTTCCTGGTATGCTTACATGTAGTACATCCTTAAATCAAAAAGAATTACACCCAAAACAATTATACCTGCATACAGCATGTCATCAGAATGTACTGAACCTGTGCAAAACCCAGATTATTGACAGTTTCAGTTGGATGTTTGGGTGATGTTGCCCGTTGCAGCCAATATCTTCTCTGACACAACATTTGTGAATTGTAGTATGTTATAAAAATATCACTCAAATATATATCACTGAGACATTCTGACAAAGTGCTACATGTATGTACAATACATTATGGGTTTTGCACAGGCGCAGTACGTTCTGCCAACGTGCTCCTCTATACCCAGGAGTCATCAACATGTTGTCAGTGCCTTATTTGCCTGTTAATATTTTGCATGTACGTGAAACTGATTTGCATATATGTGACAGAACAAATACGACACTGACCAAAATGTTCCCCATACATGTACCTGTTATCAGCGAGGACGTCCAGCACAGACTCTGCCAGCCACACGTTCTTCTGAGAGACGTCTCCTCCTGTGGTCAACAGATTTTCACAGTTAAACAGCTCCCCAATCAATGCTCAAATCTAACTCTACTTACTGTAAAATGCTTAGGATTTGCAGTACTCTACATGTATTTCTGTAACTTAACCAAAGCGCGATACAGTTTTCCAGAACAAAATGGTTCAAATATGTGCCCTAAAAGTCTTGCCAAAATTTCCAATTTTGCAGTCCATACAGCTCTGAATTCTAGAACAACAGTCTTGCCAAAATTTCCAATTTTGCAGTAAATACGGTTATGAGTTCCAAGACTGCTACTAACCTATGATCTGTTTGAGAAGTGACAGGCAGAGGCCGTCTGTTCCTGCTACAGAAGTCTTGATCAGTTCTCGGGTCAACCACAGGACCTGTGAGGCAAGAACACACAGGGTTAGAGATCCACATTTACTTGTGTAGTAAAGAGTTAGAGAAGAAATATACATACTTGTCAAAAGCAGAACTGTTCAAATATATTATGACATCCAAGCACTACGATGTAAATGAAAAGCTATGTAAATTTGTTCATACATGTTTCAAAAAGAGAGAGGAGATCATGTAGATAGATCCTGTAGTTAGAGACGTAGCACAGAAGTATAACACTTGTTACTTATATACCTGTACCTATAGTTATAGCACAGAAGTATAACACTTGTTACTTATATACCTGTAGTAATAAGTTTGTCATTGTCAGTTTGTTTGTCATTTTTACTGACAATGACAATGTAATAACATTGTCATTGTCAGTAAAAATACATGTGCAGGACTTAAAATACTACCTGTATATGCAGGTTAGTGCAGGTAACATTGGAGCTCTGCTGGAATTTCTGATGTCTACCTGCACCTGTCCAAAATAGTATACAGTATTATGACTCACCTGTGTCCTGACAGACTCCAGTAGTTTGGAGAAGTGGTTGGTCACCAGCTGGTTCAGTTTGACCAGGACCAGTCCCAGGCCGTCACGCGAGATCAGTGTCAGGTCGCTCAGGCGCTAACAACAGGGTGTTAAAAAATATCTATCAGTTAAAATATGAAATTGTGGGGTCATGTGGCGTAATGGTAGAGTGTCCGCCTCGGAACCAAGAGGTCCGAGGTTTGAACCCTATCAAGCCACTGATTTTGTGCCCCTGGGAAAGGCACTTTACACAACTTCTTACTTCACCCTGGTTAAAATAGGTATTGTGTTGTTGTCCTCTATGTTAGTGGCATTAAAATAAGTTGGAAAAGCTAGACTGTGCTGTCACCGGGTCTTGTGATTACATGATGGAATAATAAAAACAAACAAACATGAAATCAAAGATAGCAGATATCTGGGAAACATTTGGGGGTTTTGTGGAAGAAGGACAAAAAATGGAAATGAGAGAAAGATAGAGAGAGGTCAAACTTAAGTAGGAGCAGAAAAATAAGGAGCACTTGGATAGGATGAAAAACCAAGAGACACAAAAGAAAAATGTAGAAAGAGTGAATGATGGATGGATGAATAAAAACATGAAATGATGAATGAATGAATGAATGAGTGAATGAGTGAATGAACAAATGAATGAACAGAGAAACCAACCTTCTGAGCACTTGTTGGCTCCACCAGGATGCTGTACAGTAGACCCATTGTGATCTCCTCATGCTCCTGCATACCTTTGCACACCTGCAACACAAATGAAAAACTCACACCTACACGGAATGCTACTCTACACAAACTACAAAAAACAAGAACATTACAATATTGTTTCTCTGAAAATTAAAATAATCATATTCAGGAAAATTGACTGAAGAAAATTATGAAACCTGACATGGTTAAAGGATTGTTGATTTATAATCCAAAGGCTCTGAGTAGCCTTTACCACTCACTGGCTTCGGGAGGTGTCGGGAGCGGCAAACTGTTATCTCATTCTCAACGGACAAACTCCCCTGGCATGTTATCTCTCTATTTGGCGGATTTCTACTCTTTCCAGTCGCCTCCCGAAGCCTGGTAGCTACTGAGTACAAATCCCTGGCAGGCACCAATTTGTCATTTTGTGTCTTTGGGAAAGGTACTTTACACCTATTTCCTCACTCGACTCAGGCCAAAACATTGTCAGCTGTTCTTACCATGGCATTCAGGGCATCGTGAGCTTCTCTATCAGACAGTCCTGCCACCAGTGCTGTGTAGGTCTCATGGCAACGTTCTAGCTTCTACAAGTCACAACACAGAAGATTCAACAGTTAGCAATCATTCAACAATTGCCCTGGTGTGATACCTTATGAGTAACAGGTTTCTTAAAATTGGTGTGATTTACTGTGAATCGTGAAACTTTCATGGTGTTTTTATTTAGCTGTTGGAGGGAAAGGGAGGTTTTCATGGTACATGTATCTCAAATTCATGATACAAAAAATCAACTGATTCTCTTACAGTTACTGTAAATGATGTAACTAATAGTCATACAAGGAAAATATATTGTTAGTGTCATGAAAACTGCAAAAATATAACACTGTGAAAGTTTCACAATTTACAGTATGTCACATTAATAATGACACTGGATATAAATTTCAATACATACAGTAATGATATTAAGGTCAAAGGTCACCAAAACTTCTCCCTGAAGATATGAATGCTAGAAGTATGATTCCCAAACGATTTACGTTATGTTCTGTAATATGCACACGTCTATACTAGCGGGGATCTTTCTGTTGGGAGCTCTGTTTTTCATTGTTTATTTGTAACTACTGCGAATGGGGAAGTGGGGTTTGCAAGTGGTTTTGCAAAAAGAGAAAGCACACAGGTCTCTCACCTTAGATAAATTATACAGCCTCATAATTCTATTTCAAAAACATGTAGAGACTTAACGGTTAAGTTAATAGGTGGGGAATGTTACAAATAGACAGAGTATGTCTGATCTATGCCCTATAGACTCCTATGTTCAAACTGATCAAAGATTTTAGGATAAGCGTTTGCCCCCCTCCCCCACTAGCTGCTTGCAACTTGCAAGCTCTAATTTCTTTTTTTTTCCGGCTCGCACAAATCTCAGTAACTTTCTTACCTCCTCTAGCTCGTCTTTTGGGTCCAAGGAAACCACGTCGTACAGTCGTGTCTTTGGAGGCTGGTTGGGCTCCATAGCTCCAGCCAAAGTCCTGCACAAAACCCCGGAACACACACACACCAGTTTGAACGGTCTGTTGGCTGCTCTCAGTGTTAGCGTGCGAATCGTTGTTGACACCGTACAGGGGCGCCGCCTACCGATTTTTGTTGGTATAGCAGCAAAGTGTAAATATAAAGGGTCTCACACCGGGAATGTACTTTCTATTCCTGATTCCTTCCTTTAAAAGTTATGCCCACGATCATCATACTGGTCATTCTGACGTGGCTGATACAAGACCTCTGTCCGAGTGATTTGAATTGAATCACCATCTCCACACAGTAATTTGGACCATTGCACACTGGGGCATGTCCGTATTCTTTTTTCGAAAAGGTGTGGTGGTGTGGCTCTCCCCAAACAGGGGACCTCAATTTAACGTCCTATCCGAGGGACGTCCCTAGCAAGGACTAGGTACTCTTTTTTAACTGAATGAACTGAGGAAAATCATATAAAGTGCCTTTCCCAAATGCACAAGATCGGTGACATATGGCAGAATTCGAACCTGAACAATTCTACAAAACCCGGTACTCAAACTCCCACCTGCCCGGAGGGGATGCGATGGTCCAAAATCCTACTGTCTGGAATTGTTCATCCACTTCAAATTGGATCAAAAAAAGTTTAAATGATTGCAAATACATGCCCGATGGCTAATTGCAAATAACACAAACGACATGCATGAAAAAGAAAATACAATGATATGAGCGACTATGTGCAAAGTTATACTACATTCTACGACGTTTTTTTGTTGGGTTTGACTTCTTCTTTTGAGGCAGTGTATGAAAGTTACCCACTGTATTCAAGGTGCCCTGGGCTAGAATCGCACGCGTCAGACTTAATTCCCATGATTTGTGATAACACCCGAGGCCCTGGTACCGGTAGCGAAACGCATTGTCTGCAGTTGGAGACAAAAGCTGCATACCTACGGAAAGAGGGACGATCTGAGCTTGCTCCGAGACTAGTAGATGGGCTTGGTGATACCAGTTTTGTGGCAGGCCCTATGAAAAGCTTGGGCAAAATCCGTGAGGATCAGGGAACCTTTATCTACTGTAGACCTGTTCCCAGCTCCCGCGTAAAAGAAGTTCAGCAAGTCAACGAGGCGGTGAGTTGTAGAACATGCATTCATATCTACTAAGGAAAACATATTGTTTTTGCTCTGTTTCCTCTTCTTCTTCTCCAAACAATGGATCAATGTCCTGAACCAGGTGTCTGTCACCATGGTAACTAGGTAAGAAAGACGGCATTTAAGCACTACAATCCTGGTAAGTAGCCTCTACCAGGTTTCGGGAGAAGGCTGGAAAGAGTAGAAATATGTCAAATAGAGAGATAACATGCCGAGGGATTTGGTCGGCTAGAGAATACATTTTGTCGCAAAATATACTCTCTAGCCGACCAAATCCCTCGGCATGTTATCTATCTCTGACCGATTTCTACTCTTTCCTGCCGCCTCCTGAAGTCTGATAGAGGCTACCTGGCAGGTGGCTGTCATAACAAATGTTTGTTAATCGCGCCCGCTGTACCTGTCCTGTCGTGCAGCTCTATATCCGGTACGTGTGAGTTGTCTAATAACTAATTAAGGCTCGTAACTTCACGGTATCTGTGGATTGCTCATTTCTTGTACAAAGACTGGACTTGTACATTCGAAACCTTGGGTAAGTCTAATTCCTTGTGTTAGAAATTACAGCGTGAACTTCTCCCCATTGGAGTCTCTTAAGTTAAGGGACGCATCTATAGCCTGTGCTGTGGAATGTGAACCAGTCAGAATTGACCTGAGGGAGGTGACAGACGGTCACCGAAACGTCGACTGAATAAAGCACTTGGTTGTGTAAAAAGAGCCTCCTTTTTCAGTGACTTACCAACCTGATGACACTATTCACGGACAAGTACAAGTATAAAGAGCGTACTATACCCGCCCAGCGCACGCTAGTTAGAGACTAGGGAGCCCAATTATGTGGTCACGAAGTTTTGTTTGTTACGTCCTATACCGCGCTTACACAGTGTGTGTACACAGCCTGCACATTATGTGATGTCTGTGATGCGTCTCACCTGGCACGGATCTGTCACTGACTACTATAGGACGTCAATAGAAGCTAGCCTGTGTTATTTTGCTTCGCCTACAGTCTTCTGACTACATAAATATGGGTTAATGGGTCATCAGTTTGAACTACTGTGAGGTCAGCGATGTCTACTGGCCTGAGGCATACTCCCCAAGCAGAGGTTTGGGTTTTGGCTTATTTTTGGCGTTTTTTAAACTTTTTCATCGGGTTTCTTTTTTGCACTGGTGTATCGTTTTTACGCTAACCCAACGAATTTTTTTTGGTTGTCGTATGATAAGAAAAGTGCAAAAAACAAACCCGATAAAAAAGCCTAAAAACACGCAAAAAATAAGCCATTACCCAAACCTCTGCTTGGAGCTCGAGAGTACCTGGAACTCTCTTCCTAGCTGATCGCTAGTCTCCAAGTTTGCCCACCCTGTCCTTAAATGGCTCCCAAGCTAAGGAAACACAGCCCAGGACTTATATCAAACAAAGAGCTGATCAATTCTCTATTCACGTCGAAGGTCATTCGGATATCCATTACAACTACAACTACAACATACTTGTACAGTCACGTTGCACCAGTTTCTAGTTTGCCTAACTGTAACAACAAGGTAATCTTGATAATAACATGGTGTTGCAATTAAAAAGTAACGGCACTTTTTAAAGGGACCTTATAACGCTACCATATGTTACAGTTAGGCAAACTACAACGTGGTGCAACGTGACTCGACTACTATAATAACTGTACTTCAGCCAAGTATATAGTTTAGGTAATGCGGATGAACTTCAACATATCTATCTGAATGATAAGCTCTTTGTTTGAAATTGACGTGCATGCGAGAAGAACATAGATTTCCACCGGTACCGGACCGTCGAATAGCTCATAAAACAGTAGCTTCACTTCACTGATCATGAAGGGTGTGTTTTAAAACTCACCATGGTACCAGTCACGCGTGGCTTCCGTTGTGTGATGGGGGTTACCTTTGGATGGTTCACCTACAACAGTAATAGACATTTCAGACGCGACGAGACAGTGCTTCAAACTAAGAACTCAGGTGTGAATGTATCTACTTTGCATTTTATATTATAAATTGAATTTTAGATCTTTGAGGAAGCTGTCCCCTGTGTATGTCGACATAAACGTTTTTGTCCCTTTTTGGTACAAAGAAGGTCTCATAGAAATTGTGTCTTCGGAAAGAACCGCACGGTACAGGCTTCCATAAATAGTTTTCTGTTCCAGTCAATTCTCAATTACGACGTAGGTCACTCACCTACGGTTTGTTTGACAAGGCACGGCGTTCTGTATTTCCAAGGTATGTGTCAAATTTATAAAACTAAAAAAAATCCCGGTGAAAACTCAACTACGAGGTAGCTCAGGTAACTACAGTTAGGCACGACGTACTGTAGTCCAAGGTATGTGTATTATATGCTTTTATGTTCAGTCCAAACTGAACGACGTTTTGTACTTCACCTTACTACGACTTAGGTCACAAAGCCATGCGTAATTCTGCGAACTACATATGTTACAAATATCCGGTATGATGCTTCATGTTGAGTGAGGCCAACCGAAGTTTTATTGACGCTTGGAAATAGGAAACATTGCATTTTACACATGATAATGTGGTAGATAATTCTTCTCAAAACAATGTTTACCTAAAAGGCATACAATGTAATTTCAAGATGGATTTTCGGAGTCAATTTCTGCAAATGTAGTAAGTTGAATCAATCGTATCCCACAGAGTACTGATATCTGTGAGGCAAAAGTGCTTTGTCACTGGAGGAAAACGTTAACCGTTGCTTGTTTTGTTGGGGCGGTAACCCCCAAAATAAAGAGACGCCTCACGTAGCTTACTTTTAGGTATGTAATGATGAGGACACGGTATTAAATGTCAATATCAGACAGATTTCCTCATCCACTATACTTTTTTTGCCACTCTGAAATTGCATTGGATGTTTTTATTAAGGTACATATTTTCTATTTATCAGACACATTTAGAGATTTTTTTGGATTTTTTTATAATTAAATCGTGTTGTTTTATTTGCCTGAAGATTTCCAAAAACAAGGACGATGAATGGTCAAGTCAGTGACGTCACTTCCGCCGTGAGTGACGACGTCACCAGCCGTGATGACGTTTCCGATGAGTTGATGTCAGTGATAAGGAGTCTGACGTCATCACGCAGATACGTGCCGCAGTGGTACGTGTACGACACACGCGGGTCGGAGATGTGCGAGGAGTGAGTATGGGTATCATACACATATACACGTACACACAGATATACTAGTACACACACAAGTACACATACACATACGCGTACACGTACACGTACACGTACACGTACACGTACACGTACACGTACACATTCACATACACATGCACATGCACATACACATACACATACACATTTTCCATCTTGGCAAGGAGTAGAGTCACGAGAAGTGAATGGGAAAGATCATGGTGTAAACAATGAATAAAAGGAAGGTATACCCACAATGGAATATGTACAGGGAGAATCCACAATGATAAACAAAATAAGACATTCATAACACCTTCACAATTTGTGATATTTTTCTTGGTGTTGCTGTTTCATAGTATCATTGTTTCAGATTGATACAGAAGTCTGAAACCTACAATGTCTGGCAACACGAGTACAGCATACTCCAGGCTCACGCAGACGAAATCGCCGGTAAAGTCTCGCCCCCAGCCGTTCTCGTGGATCTCGGCAGCGGTGGGTCCTCCAAAACGCGCCTGGTTATCGAGGCTATGCGGAAGCGGCGCGAAAACTTCACGTTTGTTCCAGTGGACATGGCGAAGGGTAAGGGTCTTAAGGTCACTCACTCACGCACTCACTCACTCATTCGCTCGCTAACTCACTCACTCACTCACTCACTCACTCACTCGCTCGCTCGCTCGCTCACTCACTCACTCACTCACTCATTCCCTTACTCACTCACTCACTCAGTCACTTATTCACTCACTCAGTCACTCAGTCAGTCACTCACTCACTCACTCTCTCTCACTCACTCACTCACTCTCTCTCTCTCACTCACTCACTCACTCACTCTCACTCACTCTCACTCACTGACTCACTCACTCTCTCACTCTCTCACTCACTCACTCACTCACTCATCCACTTACTCACACACTCTCACTCACTCACTCACTCACTCACTCACTCACTCACTCACTCACTCACTCACTCACTCACTCACTCACTCACTCACTCACTCACTCACTCACTCACTCACTCACTCACTCACTCATCATTTACCCACGCATGTATATCCCCCCAGAGTATATCGAGTCGTGCGGTCGGCAGCTGGAGACAGACTACCCCGAGCTGACCGTGGAGCCGTTCGGCGGACTGTACATGGACGGGCTGCGGCACGTGTCCGCCCGGGAGGAGCCCAAGTTACTCCTGTTCCTCGGCTCCAGCTTCAACAACATCTCCGTCCACGAACAGGGGAGGTTTCTGCGGGAGATACGGGCTCAGCTCAGGGGTAGGTTGTCTCGCATTCCAAAACGCGCGTTCCATTCCAAAACGCGTTCCATTCCAAAACGCGTTCCATTCCAAAGCGCGTTCCATTCCAAAGCGCGTTCCATTCCAAAACGCGTTCCACTCCAAAACGCGTTCCATTCCAAAACGCGTTCCATTCCAAACGCGTTCCATTCCAATACGCGTTCCATTCCAAACGCGTTCCATTCCAAAACGCGTTCCATTCTAAAACGCGTTCCATTCTAAAACGCGTTCCACTCTAAAACGCGATCCATTCCAAAACATGATCCACAGTCATTCCAAAACATGCTTTGGAATATGTACTAAGTACTACGTATACAAAGAAGAAATTGGCCAAATATAGATAGATGATATATGCCAGTGGAGTTGGTGCGATGCTATGAGATTAGTAGCGGCAAAATGTTCTCTTATCGCCGACCAACTCCCCTGGCATGTCATCTTATAGGTCAATTTGTACTCTTTCCTGCCGCCTCCCGAAGCCTGGTAGAGGCTACATAGGACCAGTCCTAATCAGAATTTTATGTAGAAAGGTAAAAACAAACTGAGAAAAATGTTTCTTCTCCTTCAACGCAGCCCCAGACAGGTTCGTGATTGGGTTGGACATGAACACAGACCGGGAGGCGGTGTGCCAGGCGTACGGGAAACAGTGGACACCGATATGGCGAGACAACCTCATCGACAGATTCAATAAGGTAAAACCACTCCAATTTTAACTTTTTTTGTCTCGGATTTTTCTCCAGAAAAACTATGAAGCGACAGGGCGAAAGAAATACTAAAAACAGACCTATGCATCAAATGCTACGATAGCTAGGAGCTATGAAGTCAACCTACCACCGGTTCTTCCTAGGTTTTCCGCGAATTCCAGGTTGTACAGTAATATTTGTGGGGCGATTACAAGAGGCCAATAGATGCAGGCGGCCAACTCCTGTTGCCCCACAGAATCTGCTTGGAGATTAATATTTATAAATAAGTTAACAGGTGTCCTGATGTCTGTCTGGGGAAGGAAAGATAAGTGATGATACGTCATCAAGCTTCTCTTTTGCTTCTCTAAGTCCCCATGCCACCTATGTCTTCATTTTCAGGACTTCGGCGGGACCATGGACGCGGAGAAGTTTGAGTACCAGGTGGACTTTGTGGAGAATCCTGCTGACGGAGACACGCCGAGTTACGTGGTGGGGTATCTCAGGAGTGCCGCAAGGCAGAGGGTGCACTTTGGTGAGTGTACAAACATAAACGCACACATACACTCGCGCGCGCGCGCACACACACACACACACACAAACACACACACACACACACACACACACACACACACACACGACACACACACAGACACACACACAGTGTCACACACACACACAGACACACACACACACACACACACACACACACGCACACACACACACACACACACACACACACACACACACACACACACACACTGGCCTTTGCAGTGCTTGTCTCTGTGTGTTTGTGTTTGAAAATGCACGCTAGCATCGTTCGCGACATAGATTTTCTGCAACAAAATGTTTCCTCTGTTCCAGAAACGCTCGGCCTCGACATTGACTTTGAAGACGGCGAAAAGATTTACTTCTACGAGGGGCCGAACACAAGCTGCAAGTTTAACCCCAGACAAATACGCTGCCTAGCGGAGAGAAGCGGATTTACAGTAGATGCTCTCTGGACCAACGATGAGGAGAATTATGGTGTACGTCTGTTTGGCACCGACAGATTTTATTCCTACCGCAGTTTAAGGTTCCTCAAAAGATAGCCAGTGGCTGGGCCATTGATGAAAATTAAATGTAGTTGTAGAAGTACACTCAACGCTACCACACCACTTGTAGCAATTCCACAACTACACTCAAGGCTCTTCACTTGTGTCACTTCTACAACTACATTCAAGGCTACTCCACTCGGGTTACCTTGTTGGATGTGCATTATAGTAGTATCTAAAGGTAAATAGATCTGCTGGGATTTTATAATGGCTACAAATAAAATCTCCTTGCAACACCGATTCATGATCAGTGCCTCTAATTAATAAGAGATACAAATGTAGCATGAAGAAGTCATTGTCCTTTCGATGTACATCGCACCAAATGCCACTCTACTGGACAAATGTTACCAGACGACACATGAGCACCATGACCTATAGTCACCTTAGAGTTTAGCTACTTCTCTTTTGATCTTAAATTCCAGATTGATCATCGGAACGTTCTGGATAGTCCACAAGTTTCCAGAACCGTGCCTGGTACAAATCTATGTTCTTGGATACGCGAAGGCTATCCAGAACAGTGTTTGTTTCTAATCCTAACCCATCCAGGCATAGGACTGGATAGACAAGATTCTGGATAATATATAGACCTGCATCATGTGTTAATGCCCAAGAAAGCCGGAGCGTCTTTTAAGGGTCAAGGTCAACCTCAAGGTCAACCTGACTAATCCATCCGCTCGCTCTCTGCGAATCATCACGAACAGGAAATGACGTCTTACGTCGACGTTCGCTTGCGTCATCATCCATCAGGAAACGCACATACCTCACTTCCGGTGGTCATCTGACGGCCAAATGACTTGTTTTCCTCACACACACACACACATACACTATAGGTCTTCTTAGTAGGTGACCGGTCCGGTCAAAAGACATTCAAAACGTTATAGATGAGTCATTATTTTTCACATGAAAGCGTTTCAATGTCACCCTATTGGCATAAAAGGGGTACCAAGGCCACAATAGTGTCATAAAAGAGAAAACCACGGCCACGGTATTGGCATAAAATTGTGCCAGGGCCACTGTATTGGCATAAAAAGACCCGAGGCCTCAGTATCGGCGTATAAAGAATATACAGTATTGTCAGTGCTAGTATAGCCAAAGTGTACGTGTGGCAGAGCAGAACTTCTTGACAAAGTACGAGTACAAGGGTAAAACATCGACAGTATGGACACCTCCGACGCCGCGTTTTACGCCGAGAACAGCACCCTGCAGAGCGTGCATGTACACCGGATCATGGAGCAGCACCTGCGCTGGGAGCGGGAGGACAGAGTGCTGGACGTGGGCTGCGGGACGGGACGGACCACGCAGTACATCGCACAGCGCGGGGTCAAGTCCGTGGTCGGGATAGACTTGTCGCCAGACTTCATCAGGTAGGAAAGCAAAATCTCTCTTGCTCTTGGTTTTCGGACAAAAAAACAAACTTTTTTTTTAAATATTCCAACATGTACACTCAAGTTTTTTCAACTTATGTTAATGCCACACCAACACAGGGGAGAATACAATACTCATTTTCACCTAAGCGAAGTGAGGAAAGTCGTGTAAAGTGCCTTTCCCAATTAGCAAGGGCACAAGATCGGTGGCACGTCAGGACTCGAACCCGGACCTTTTGGTTCCGAGTCGAGCGCTCTGCCGCTACCCCACTTAAACTCAATTCTTCCGACACTTTTAGGCCATATGTTGGCAGAATCAAACCTTTTTTTTAGACGAGGCAAGAAATGTATATACTGAAATATCCAATATTTGCCTATTTTTGTACATTAATGTTGACGATCTGTATTAGATCTGTGTTTGGCACGGACGCCGAATGACCGGAGGTAACCCCACATAATGTCCTCAGGCGGTCTTAAGCTCACGAAGCCATGACGTCATTTTGCAACCTTACGTGTGGGAGTCTAAAACAGGTTTACCCAAATGTCACCAACCAGTTTGCAATTCATTTCCTCCGTGTGAATCCTTATCAACAAACGATATACTATTATTACAATCGTGTACAGAAGTATTGGTTTGGGTAGATGATCCGTGTTTGCGTGTGTCCGGACAGAGTAGGTTGACACCAGGCTGTTGGAGGGAGGGGAGGGGGAGGCAAGATGATCATGAAATAAGGTCAAAAGGTTAGATACAGGAAATGGGGTGAATTTGAGGTTGACAGTACTCGGATGGGGCTAGATATTGACAGGCACAATGGCAGGAGGTCAAAATTAAATGTCAGATACACTGCAGGAAATGGGGTGAACTTAAAGACCAAATTTCCGATTTCCTATTGTGCGATGAATACTAAGGGGATGCCTCCTGCCTTTCAGGTACACAGAGGAAAACAAGCGAAACAGAAATGTGTCCTTCTGCGTTGCCGACATTCAGCGCTCCTCTGACCTGCAGCCGGCCTGGAGGCAGTCATTCGACAAGGCGGTGAGTTTCTACGTCCTGCATCTGATCAAAGACAAGAAGCTCGCTCTGGAGAACATCAGCGCCTGTCTGAAACCCGACGGACGACTGCTCATGATCGTCCCGACGTAAGACAACGTCCTGATGGTGACGACCAGGTTCATGTCGGCTCACCAGAGATGGGGGAGGTATCTCGCCGGCTGTCCCCAGATGATGCCCTGGTCAGCTGACGACCAGGAGGGTCTGAGTCGTCTTGTCGAAGACTGCGGATTTGAGGTAAACGCAAAGTAACTTTTAAACTAGAAAGGTATATAATGTTTCCTTCGCATATGGTATGCTCTGTTAATTCTTACTCAAAAACACATTCATATATATGGTCAGATAGGAGTCTAAATCCCTCCTGCTATAAAATGGCGACACGATGTAACCCAACACTATAGTTACCATGGTAACAGGCAGTCTGGCTCAGGTCATTGACCTTTTGCCAAAAAACAGTTACTCAATGGATGTCTAACCTTCATCGACGCATTGACCTTTTGGTTTGGAGAAGAAGAGGAACCGTAGCGTACACAGTGTTTGCAAATTCTATCGTTCACTTGGAACTTCTAATACCACCTTTCTATTTCGAGACTAATCCGTATATTACAATGTCTTCATCAAACGATTCATGACCTTTAAGCTGACGAAATGATTTTCCGTGTTGTTGCAGGTGTTGTCGTGTGAGTGGCCGCTGCTGCGCCACTGGTACGGATCTGAGGAGGACACCGTGAGCGCCATGCTGCCGTTCCTGGGTCTCCGCCACGTCCCGGAGGACGAGCAGGCCGACTTCCTCTCTGACTGGTGGGCCTGCGCCAGGAACATGACGGACGCCTCAGGCTGCAGTGTCGCGATAGACTCAGACGGTAGAGTGGCGTGGACGTTCCGTATCTTCATCATCCACGCCAGGAGGGTTTAATCATAAACGATGAGTTTTATGTTTTATGTACATACCCGATGGCTAATTGCAACGTGTTACATGAGCCTCAACCTCTAGTTTTTAAATTGTTAATATCGATTTGTGTGTTCATTGTTGATGTTTTGATGTATTTATGTCTTTTTAAATGTATTCACTGTATTTTCCATGTATATGATTATGTAATTTTAATGTTTGAGCCTTGGAAGATTAGCCCTGCAAATAAATGAAACGTGAAACTATGTATAGAAACAGTATACAGACAGTGCAGTGCAGGTTAACAATGGTATCCAATAGAATAAGTGACTATATACAGTAGCCTGGAGTCCAGCCTTGTTAGCTTTAGTCCGTTCCCCAAGACCCTCTACATATGTATACGGAGTACTCATACAGTCTAAGCTTTGTAATTGTTTGACATCTTTTTTGGAATCAGTGGAAGAAAAAAATAAAATAAAGGATGATGAAACAGTACAGGTGTGCGTGGCTGTTTTATTCACTTCACAACCAATTCATTCCACAGACGTCATACACTGTTTTACAGCGACGAGTTTATACAAATTATTCAAATACAAACAATCAATCAAAAACGCTCGCTACCGTCTCTTCCGAGCAGGCTAGATAGACCGCTTCTAACTGTCCATCGCGATCAGCAGTTCAACCAATACCCGTAAATAATTTCATCAGGTTGGTGAATGATTTAATAGCAAAGTTCTTTATTCATAACCACTTTCTTTGACACGAGCAAACCTCATGTGATCAAATAGTTCGTATACGCACGTCTACCCGGATATAAAAATATTCTTAAAGCTTCCCAAACACTGGAATGTGTTGCATTTAGTGCAGGTAGTGGGCATATATTGCCCACAATGATTTCAATGCTAGGCATTTGAACATTAGCATACCGTGTTTAGTCGTAGTGCTTTCTGTACTATCACTGGGATACATTCAAAGTGACATGATTATCGGAGAAACATTGGCTGCACACCACCCTTTTAAAAATATAATATGTACACAAAACAGCCAATACAACAAGAAACCCTGGTGACCCGAGGCCACTTTAAAATAAATAAAAACGTTTTGGGCGCAACAAACAATAACGGAAACAAACACACATAAGGCCCTGTGAATATAAACACTGAATGAATAAAATACATCTGACTCTGCAAAATTTTCTATCAATTTAGAGGTAAATTCCACATAAAAATATATACCTAAATATCGTGCATTGTGGTTGCTCCGTTGCATTTGCGAAGGTGCAAAGTAAAATATTCTTATTTTCAAATGCTTTATACAAATAGGGCGATGGGGTTTAATATCCTCCCTCTCTTTCCGTTGCATTCTCTCTCTATAAACATGGCATGAGTGGACTCTTTAAAAGAGCCGAGTCACCAGAACCGTGCTTCACATCCAAAATTATACTGAGACACAGTCTACACGTATCCAGAACCGTGCCTGGGGCAAATCTACGTTCTTGGATACGCGGAGACTACCCAGAACCGTGCCTATCTAGCTAGTTCTATGCCTGACACCGACTACAGTACTTGGGCGTCGTTTTGTCCTCATGCCGCTAGAGGTCGCCACTATACGGTGTACAGGGCGAGGGCGATGGCGGTGACGTACGTCGTGAGGATACCAGGCAGCACCACACCAGCAGATGCCTGTATGGGAGTAAAGATAAATTACAGCATATCTAGTCTGTGTAACGCAAACTCTGCCGTCCGTGGCCCCTACGTTAAGCGATTTAATCAGGCTACAGCACATCCTGTTTGAGGAGTAACAGTGACGTGGGCAAACGTACCGTTACATCCGTGTCGTCGTACACCTCGTACACGCTGACTGTCCCGCTGACCGTCCCGGCCACCAGGAGAAGCGGGCTGCCGTCGGGACTGTCCTCTGCGGCAACGAATCTGGGAGAAAAAAGGATCATTGTATTTTTCGATACCGAAAGAGAGACAGAGAAAGAGAGAAAGAGAGAAAGAGAGAAAGAGAGAAAGAGAGAGAGAGAGAGAGATGATTTATTTATCAAAATCAAACACTTTCAGTACAAGTGGCTGAATTGTAGTTTGTACAGTGTTTTTTTACTAGGCAGCCGTATTTAAGGCGATGGGAAGATTTGCCCTTTAGCTTCCTGGAGGAAGAAGTGGGAGCCACAAAGGACGCCTGGAGAGTCCTTGCTGTCAACAGAAGCACCTGGAGATAACTGCCTATGTACAGCGGCAAAACTTCTACCTTGAAGCCCGCGGACTATTGATAAATTGCCGCATTAAAGACGTACCTAAGATCTTCCGGGTCCACGTCTCCGACCGAGCGCGAGTCGTACGCCTCCCGCCAGGTCCCCGCCGGCGCGCCCGGCCAGTAGATGCTCTGGAAGACCGGGGAGATGATGTCCGTGTCCGGGAGCGTGTACAGCATGATGGTGGAGGACCGCTCGTTCGCCACGAACAGGACGGTCTGGCCTCCGACTGAGCCGATCGCGACGGCTTCTGTCTCTGGCCCCTGAAATAAAAACAACATGAAAGACATGAAAATTTAGCCAGAACAATACTCAGGCACGTACACGTGTCCAGAATCTATGTTCTTGGATACGCGAAGGCTATTTAGAACAGTGTTTGTTTCTAATCCTAACCCATCCAGGCAGAGAACTGGATAGACAAGATTCTGGATAAGATAACCTTACACCATGTGTTGATGTCCAAAAGAAAGCCGGAGTGTCTTTTAAGGCTCAAAGTCAACCTCAAGGTCAACCTGACTAATTCATCCGCTCGCTCTGTGCGATCAAAGCGTTCCAATATCACCCTATTGGCATTAAAGGGGTACCAAGGCCACAATAGTGGCATAAAGAGCACTAAAGGCCGCAGCTTTTGCCGTGAAAGAGAACCCAGGTTACGGTATTGGCACAACATTATATTGTGCCAAGGTCAGTAACTGAACACGCCACCGTATTGAACTTGAGCTATATATCGAATACAGATGCCATTCAGTGCCTGCAGTATCGCCAAGGTTTGTGGCAGAGCAGAACCTCTTAAGTACAAGGGGAAACATCGTCATATACCGACAGTATGGACACCTCCGACGCCGCGTTTTACGCCGAGAACAGCACCCTGCAGAGCGAGCATGTGCACCAGATCATGGCGCAGCACTTGAAATGGGAGCAGGAGGACAGAGTGCTGGACGTGGGCTGCGGGACGGGACGGACCTCGCAGTACATCGCACAGCGAGGAGTCAAGTCGGTGGTCGGGATTGACTTGTCGCCAGATTTCGTCAGGTAGGAAAGGAAGTACGCCATAAAACAGTTACTCAGGCAACTGGAGAGTTGTCAGAAAAGCTAGCCTGGGTGCCATGGCAGACCAAAACTTTGCGTCCAGTGTGCTATGGGTCTGGCACCCAGGCTATAGCAGTGTCATTAATCATGACGAAAGGTAGTGAATGCTACCTGAAACGTCTGCCCCTTTCCAAAATCATATCCAGTTACTGTTTTTTTTGGCTTTTGTTTTTTACTCCGTGAAGGAGGTCAGGACCTCGTGAGTGTTGTGAAGAGCTGTTGTTTCGTGTTAGCAGTCAAAACACTGGGTTCTATTTGTGGAATCGGCATGCAATTTTATACGCCGTCTGTGGGCATGCCCGTGTTGATGCACGAATGTGTATTTTTGCCGTTGCTGTTTTCGCGGTCAATGTAATATTGCAGACGCACCCCTACAATTATGAGGCAAATTGGAATGGTCCAGAAAAACCCGTTGTTTGGAATAGCGGTGGGACGCGCGGAGGGGTCGATAAGTGGTACTATAGATGTTCGTAGCCAAAACGCATTGTTCCGTACGTAGCATTTCTGTGTAATTTGGCATGTGGTGTGCCATTATGCCCCTGGTGATGCACGTCTTTTTATTTTTACCCTAGCAGTTTTGATATTGGAGTAAATGCTTATTTTTGAAACATCCCTATAATGTCGTTGAAATGTTTTGCCCGGGTATCTGACCGGCGGTAGTAACACTTTATTCCAGTCAAAGAAGTACTCTGTTATCATCTCTTTCCAACATAGTAGAGCTACAGCATCTCAATGACAGTTCCCTATGTTCCTTACTACTTCGAGGGTCTACATCACTTTCACACCTACAAAACTGTAATGTTTTTGATGTAGTTCAAAGCTTCATTTACTGTACGGTGTGTCACCCCGCGGTGTTCTCGCTCGGGTGGCCTTGACCTCACGAAGCCATGACGTCATTTTGCAACCTTATGTGTGAGAGTCTAAAACAGGTTTACCCAAATGTCACCGACCAGTTTGCAATTCATTTCCTCCGTGTGAATCTTACCCTTCCAATAACTTTATCAACAAACGATATTCTATCATTTAATATTAGTATTGTGAAATTCCAGATTTTTTTCGCGTGTACGGAAGTACTGTTTTGGGTACATGAACTGTGTTTGTGTGTGAGATGCAAAATACCAGGAGGTCAAAAGGTGAGACACAGGAAATGGGGTGAACTTGAGGTTGACAGCACGCGGGTGGGGCTAGATTGACGGGCAGAATGGCAGGAGGTCAAAATTAAAGGTCAGATACAAGAAATGGCAAAGAAACCCCAAAGCCTGAAACTTCCGATTTCCTGCTGTGTGGTGAATAGATCCCTCTTTCTTGCCTTTCAGGTACACAGAGGAAAACAAACGAAACAGAAATGTGTCCTTCTGCGTTGCCGACATCCAGCGCTCGTCTGACCTGCAGCCGGCCTGGAGGCAGTCATTCGACAAGGCGGTGAGTTTCTACGTCCTGCATCTGGTCAGAGACAAGAGGATCGCTCTGGAGAACATCAGCGCCTGTCTGAAACCCGACGGACGACTGCTCATGATCGTCCCGACGGACGATAACGTCCTGATGGTGACGACACGGTTCATGTCGGCTCACCAGAGATGGGGGAGGTATCTCGCCGACTGTCCTCAGATGATGCCCTGGTCAGCTGACGACCAGGAGGGCCTGAGTCGTCTCGTCGAAGACTGCGGATTTGAGGTAAACGCAAAGTAACTTTTAAACTAGAAAGGTAACATTTGCAAAGCACATGCATAATGTTTACATTCGCATATGGTTTGCTCTGTTAATTCTTGCTCAAACACACTCACATATATATGGTCAGGCAGGAGTCTAAATCCCTCCTGCTATAAAATTGCAACATGATGTAACCCAACACTAGTTACCATGGTAACAGGCAGTCTGGTTCAGGTCATTGACCTTTTTGGTTTGGAGAAGAAGAGGAAACGTAGCGTACACAGTGTTTCCAAATTCGTTCATACACTTGGAACTTCTTATACCACCTCTCTATTTCGAGAGGTTGTGCACAAATTCGTATATTAGAAAGTTTATTGCAAATACTTGCCCGAGGGCTAATTGCAGTTACAAACAACACAAGAAAGAAAATATAATGGTATGTGAGACTATATCTACTTCTAGCATTATACTATATTCTACAGCATACATGGTACTAGTTTTACTGAGTTGGACATCTTCTTTTTAGGCAATGGAAGACGAATTTACCCACTTCTTCTATAATATGTGGGTTCTTTGATTTTAGTAGTAAAATTATTACAATGTCTTCATCAATCGATTCATTTAAGCCGTGTAAGCTGAAGAAATGGTTTTACCTGTTGTTGCAGGTGTTGTCGTGTGAGTGGCCGCTCCTGCGCCACTGGTACGGGTCTGAGGAGGACACCGTGAGCGCCATGCTGCCGTTCCTGGGTCTCCGCCACGTCCCGGAGGACGAGCAGGCCGACTTCCTCTCCAACTGGTGGGCCTGCGCCAGGAGCATGACTGATTTGTCAGGCTGCAGCGTCGCGATAGACTCAGCCGGTAGAGTGGCGTGGTCTTTCCGTATCTTCATCATCCACGCGAGGAGGGTTTAATCATAGACGATAAGTTTTATTTATATGTACATACCCGATGGCTAATTGCAACGTGTTACATGAGCCTCAACCTCTAGTTTTTAAATTGTTATTTTATTTTATTCACATGGATTTTTGAGCATTGAATAGGAAGCACTTGTTGTGCTTATGTAAATCCGCTGCTCATAAAACATAATACAAATGTAAACATAAAGATGACATAAAGTATAGCATTAACATAAAATGAAAGTGGCTGGCGCACCAATACCTAGCATAACATTATTGAGATTGGTCAAATCTTCCAGAGTGGTGGATATAGTTAAACACAATATCAAAGATACGGCAGTTGGTAGGGTAAGGGAGGCTGGGGCTACCTGTAAGAAGTAAAGTACATAATGTGGCGTCATTTACGTTGAGTGGGTCGGAAGGAAGTATGTTTTCAAGATGAAGGCAAGATATGGATAACAACATTTTGGTCCTTTCAGTATTATAACATTTGCAGTGTAATAAATAGTGTTCTGGTGTCTCATTTAAATTGTTAATATCGATTTGTGTGTTCATTGTTGATGTTTTGATGTATTTATGTCTTTTTAAATGTATTCACTGGTTTTTTACTGTATTTTCCATGTATGTGATTATGTAATTTTAATGTTTGAGCCTTGGAAGACTAGCCCTGCAGGGATAAAAGGCTTCGAAATAAATGAAACGTGAAACTATGTATAGAAACAGTATACAGGCAGTGCAGTGCAGGTTAACAATGGTATCAAATAGAACAAGTCACTATATACAGTAGCCTGGAGTTCAGCCTTGTTAGCTTTAGTCCGTTTCCCAAGATCCGCTACATATGTATTCCAAGAACTACTACGGAATACTCATACAGTCTAAGCTTTGTAATTGTTTCACTCCTTTTCTGGAAGCAGTGGAAGAAGAAAATAAAAATGAAGGTAGAAAACAGTACAGGTGTGCATGGCTGTTTTATTCACTTCAACCAATTCATTCCACATACAGACGCGTCATACACTGTTTTACAGCGACGGGTTTATACAAATTATTCAAATACAAACAATCAAAAGCGCAATGCGCGGTCTCTTCCAAGCAGGTTAGATAGACCGCTTCTAAGTGTCCATCGCGATCAGCAGTTCAACCAACAATACCCGTTAACAATTTCATCAGGTTGGTGAATGATTGAATAGCAAAGTTCTTTCATAACCACTTTTTTTAACACGAGCCAACCTCATGCGATCAAATAGTTCGTATACGCACGTCTACCCGGATCACTGGAATGTGTTGCATTTAGTGCTAGTAGTGGGCATACATTGCCCACAATGATTTCAATGCTAGGCATTTGAACATTAGCATACCGTGCTTATAATTATGTCACGTTCAAAGTGACATAATTATCGGAGAAACATTGGGTGTACACCACCTTTTAAAAATATAATATGTACACGAAACAGCCAAGGGGATATACAACAAGAAACACTGGTGACCTGAGGCCACTTTAAAATAAATAAAAACGTTTTGGGTGCAACAAACAATGACGGAAACAAACACACATAAGGCACTGTGAATATGAACACAGAATGAATAAAATACATCTGACCAAGAAAAAATTCTACCCATTCTAGAGTGAAACGCCACAAAAATATATATTTATCCAAATATCGTGGATGCTGCATTGCATTTGCAAAGTAAAATATTCTTATTTTCAAATGCTTTTTACAAATAGGGCTATGGGGTTTAATATCCTCCCTCCCTCTCTTTCCATTGCTTTCTCTCTCTATAAACATGGCATGAGTAGACTCTTTAAAAGAGCCCAGTCACCGTACGTGCTTCACATCCAAAATCATACCCAGGCCGCACGGTCCACACGTATCCAGAACCGTGCCTGGGGCAAATCTACGTTCTTGGATACGCGGAGACTACCCAGAACCGTGCCTGTCTAGCTAGTTCTGTACCTGAATCAGTTAGGGTTAGGATCAGGCATGGTTCTTGATAGTTCCACATTAACACACATCCTCCGTGGGCGAGTTGACCAGCACCGACCGCAGAACTTGGGCGTCGCCACTATACGGTGTACAGGGCGAGTGCGATGGCGGTGACGTATGTCGTGAGAATACCGGGCAGCACCACACCAGCAGATGCCTGTATGGGAGTAAAGATAAATTACTGCGTATCTAATCTGTGTAACGCAAACTCTGCCGTCCGGGGCTTAAGTGGCCCCTACGTAAAAGCGATTTAATCAGGCTACAGCACATCCTGTTTGAGGAGTAATGTGATGTGGGCAAACGTACCGTTACTTCCGTGTCGTCGTACACCTCGTACACGCTGACTGTCCCGCTGACCGTCCCGGCCACCAGGAGAAGCGGGCTGCCGTTAGGACTGTCCTCTGCCGCAACGAATCTGGGAGAAATAATAATAAAAGAGAACCATTGTATTTTTCGTACTACTGGACGACTGGTGAATCTTTGAGAGAGTGAGTGAGAGAGAGAGAGATATGATTTATTTATCTAAATTAAACACTTAAAACAAAAGTGGCTGAAGTGTAGTTTGCACAGTGTTTTTTTTTTACTAGGCAGCCCTTCAGATTTGCTCTTCAACTTCCTGGAGGAAGAAGAGGGAGCCACAAAGGACACATGGAAAGTCCTTGCTGTCAACAGAAGACTCTGGAGATAACTATCTACAGCCGCCAAACTTCTATCTTGAAGCCCGCGGACGATTGATAGATTGTCGCATTAAAGACGCACCTAAGATCTTCCGGGTCCACGTCTCCGACCGTGCGCGAGTCGTACGCCTGCCGCCAGGTGCCCGCCGGCGCGCCCGGCCAGTAGATGCTCTGGAAGACCGGGGAGATGATGTCCGTGTCCGGGAGCGTGTACAGCATGATGGTGGAGGACCGCTCGTTCGCCACGAACAGGACGGTCTGGCCTCCGACTGAGCCGATCGCGACGGCTTCTGTCTCTGGTCCCTGAAATGAAAACATGAAAGACATGAAGACTTTTGTAGTAAATGGCAAAACCAATATTATAAATCAACCAACCAATCAATCAATCAATTACAGGTGTTAAACCACATACAATCACCCTGTTGCATTGTATAGTCTTTTCATCTTAATTTTATTTTTATCTTCTAAAGGTTTTGATATTGTTACAATATGGCTTAGTTTGTTGTCAGTATTCACCTTTTTACAAGACCTCTTGTCGAAGTTCTTCCTTATGTCCTTGTCGAGGGCCGCGTCATTGTAGTACGAGTTGAAGATGTCGGGATGGAAGCTGGCGATCATCCTCTCGGCGTCGTCTCCGCTGTCCCACACCAGACTCACGTCCTCCGCGTCCCACACGGAGAACCCTCGGCCTCCAAACGCGTGCAGCGCCGAGAACTTCGTCTGGTCCCATCGGTCCCTCCCGTCGAAGACGCTGAAGCGGCAGAACACGGTGTTAGTGACGCGGGTATACAAAATAGTACCGACAACATTCCTGTATACTGGATAGTAAGTCTCATGTGAGCGTCATCAACAGGGTATAAATGGTAACGTATAAATTCTGAGATATAAAATATGTCAGGTTTGAGACTGTGAACGTATGATTTGTATTGTGACGATTTTCCAGGTATAAATGCGCCAGACAACGAAAATGGTTAGCTTTTCTGTAGTTTGTACCTTAAACTTAAACACATATCCATTTTTTGTATTCCTAAAGTGCAGTTACCTTAATTTTAGAAATTCCCATAGCTATGGAAAGTTACTAGTAAACTGTGTTGTGGTACCTGAAGCGGATACAGCTGAGTTCCGTCTCGTGTCCAAGCGCTCTCCTGACGCGCCCGGAGCTGAAGCCGGATCCGAGAAGAGAGTCTGTGGGAGACCAACATTGCAATGATGTTAATTACTCCATGAAAAATGGAGGTATTGTTTTTGGCTTGTCTGTGTGTGTGTGTGTGTCTGTCTGTGCGTTTGTGTTTCCGCACATTTGTAGTCAGCATAACTTCATAACGCCTTTATGGGTTGTGATGATATTTGGTATGCTGGTAAGTCTTAGGAAGACAAAGGTTAAGGTCAAATATGGGCGCTATGGTCTTGACTTTTTGCCGTGACAGATAGCTTTTCATGTCAAGAATAAGTAGTGTAAATTTGGTCCCCCTAGCAGCTTGTTCTGGAACTGCAGGGGACGACTAACGTCGATGTAAGATGGACAATCAAGCAGTGAGAGATACACAAGAAATCAGTTGCTCAAGCAGCTTGATAGATTTGGTGCCATAGATTTTTAAAGACCGGAACTGGATTTAAAACTTTGAAAGACTTGATTAGGACCAGAAAATTCGTAGCCTCTACCATGCCTCAGAAGCAGTTGGAAAGACTAGAAATTGGCCAAATAGACAGAGTTGCCTTGGTCCCCTGAAGGAGTGCAATTTGACATACCTGTAACGTTATAGTCAATACGTAGTTACCTGTCTAGCTGACCAATTTCTATTCTTTCCAGCCGCTTCTGAGGCCTGTTAGAGGCTACCAGATAGAGAATCCGTGCCTATGGCTCATTAATTACCTTTCATGATGTCTCTCCCCTTGACGCTGTCTGTGAACTCCTCCCCGCCGATCTGGATCTCCTTGTCGTCGCCCTCGTTCGCCGTGAGGATGTAATGTCTGCCCCGGTGGGAGAAGGTCTTCATGCCGTCCGGCTGGAACAGGCTGTAGATCGGCCACTCTCGCAGGTTGATTCCTGTAGGGCACAGGCGGAAGGGGGAGGGAGTCCAACAGGCGTGAGAAAACAAACAAACAAACAAACAAACAAACAAACAAACAAACAAACAAACAAACAAAGTTTCCTGTCTGACCTGTTGTAGTCTGCAGGTAATCGCTGTCACTGAACTGAGAGAGAGAGAGACCCTAGCCATATGAACAAAAAGTTTAAGAGAGTGTTTGAGCCATATTTTACCTCCATCCTCGTCACTAGTGTCCAGACTCGCCGTGCCCCAGTATTTGGACCCGAGAGGGTAGATTTCTTCAAAACTGGCGGTCGCCATGTCCAGCACGGCTATGGCGTTGTTTTCCTATAGCACAAAATAAAAACTGCGTCACATCTCAACGACTTTCTTCTGTTGTATATCGGAAAGCTTTCTGTAAGCAAAACCTCGGTGTGTATGGGGGCAAACATCTTGTTCTTGGATTCGTATTGGCACAACCAAATCCGAAGGGATGACCTGATGTTCTTGCAGATATCGAAGGGCTCAGGCAGGACAGTAAGCTTGTAATGTATGGATAGATTTCATGACAGAGGAGTTGGTCCGAGAGTGGCAAACTGTATACTAAATCCCTTGGCATGTTAGCTGTCTAATTGAAGAGTTCTGAACAGTTATATTCGGCCAATTTTCATCAGTTTTACTTGGCCAATCTCTACTTTCCAGCCACTTCTGAAGCCTGCATGATAGAAGCTAATTTTGTATCCTTACCTGAAGCACAACGTAGGCCTTAGTCTCGTCGTGGCTGAACGCCAGGTACTCCGGCTCCAGTGACTGTGAGAGGCTGAACCGCGTCACCTGCGTGTTGTTTCCCGCACCGTGCGTCACTTCCGGAAACAGCCATCGAAGCCCCTTAGCTTGGTATCGGTACGCACTGCGTCAAAAAGAAAAAAAAATACCTTGAATAATTCAATTATTTCATGAGGTTGGCGAATCATGGGAGTCCTTTGTTCACAAACACTTGTTCAACCGTAGAGCGACGTATCAACGACCCCGCCATTCATATAGATGGTGACCAGCCCCTCAAACTTGCTACATAATGTAATCATCCAAAACCACAGGATGTCTGCTACAGCACCAGTTACCATGGTGACAGCCGTCTGGTCCAAGTCAATGACCTTATGTGTTTGGAGAATAATAACGATAAGAAGAAACTGAGCAAAGACAATTCTGCGAAGGTAAACATAAAAGGAAAACGTACAAGCAAACAAACAAACAAACAGACAGACAGACAGACAAATACAAAAACAGCTTACTGTTGCTCAAACTTGTGAAAGGTGGCTGTTCGAACGGTGGGTTCGATCTCGTTGGCGAGGTCACCCGAACGGAACTCGACAATCGTCGCCGAGCCTTCGGGATCCACGATGTCTCCCGACTCGGTGTTCGCCGGCTCGCCCTCGTTGCAGGTCACCAACTTACGGCAGTCCTTGGTGAACTTCAGCATGTCCGGTAGAGGGCCAACTGTGGATGGAGGGGTTTATAATAATTGTCAAAAACTTTCGTGTGATGCGATCACAATACAATTAAAGGCAGTAAGAATGGCAAAGAAAAAAAAATTCTCAATGAGAAAGCCTGGTATAGATATTAACTGCCATTTCATAGCTCATCGCTGTGCCCATGTCATATTTGAAATAGCCCAAAGAAACAAGCTAGGTTAGGAGTCCCTTTATTATGCGCCACCACAAGCTATAGAAGTTGATATAGAACCAGCCTACGATTTGAAAAACGCTTTATCGTAGAACGATATCTTGACAATACCGACACATCTTACCTTGGATGGTATGGATCAGGCGCAGATCGTTCTGTACCGGGTCGTACATTTCGTAGATGAGAACCGTTCCGGGTCTGGTGTGGGGCTCGGCGTGTATGGCCACGGCGATGTAGTTCCCGCAGGAGTCAATGTCGGTCGCGCCCCCTGGCAGATATTGTCGGAACACCACCCTAGGCGTGCTCGGATCCTGGATATCGATGATGTTGAGAATGGTCGCTTCGCCTGGAGGTTAGATGTGATAGGCGTTAACTGATACAACTTAGTAAACTAGAAAGGTGTTTACCTTCGCATATGGTCTGCTCTGTTACTCAAACACATTCACACAATATATATGGTGACAGGAATCTAAATCCTCCCGAAGCTTGGTAGAGGCTAGTCAGTTGTATCTGTATCTGTATAGCCGGTATAACCGCCTTTCGGCGTAACGCACCAGCTTCGCAGGCACGCGGCGTGGCGGCAGCTGGCTATATTACTCCCATCGACATGTTACACCTAACCCTTGAAATTCTAACTCTAGACATTGTTTAAAGCTATCTAATGACAATGCCCCTATTGTACTTGGTGACAGTGAGTTCCACTCTGCGATAGTTCTAGGAATATGTTTGCTCACCGACTGTATAGATGTAGTGGTTCCTGGGATCGTAGGTCATCTGTTCCACGGCGCCGTGGTCCCCCATGCTGTACAGCGGCGCGCCGTCTCCTGTGAACCCGTGCGGCAGGTACATGGAGGACAGGCGGCGCAGGCTGACCGCTCCCAGGACACTCGGGACGACCAGCAGGGCCAGGTACGCGGACAAGAACATGGCAGAAGACATCTTGGATTTGGGAAAAGTCTCGAAACACCTGGGGTAAATTACAAAAGGGACTGAAGTCAGCGTAAATAGGTACAAAGCTATAGTGTACTAGCCTTAAGCGATGTTAATAATTTCTGCCAAGGTAAGTGGATTCATTCCTCAAGCTAAACCGGCATCTTATCACACCATAGCCGTCCCTCACTTAGACACCTGGAGCTGCATAGTTCCTTGTTTTAGAACTTGATAATGATTTTATTCAGCATGAGTCTCTGTCAAGGTGAATAATGTACACCGTTTGGTTGTCGTAGTAAGCCTAAACTTCTGCTTAGAGACGTTAGTGTAGGTTACACTGTCGTGGGGGAACCCATACTAAAAAGTAAGGATTAAACTAGTACGCACGGCTAAAGTTCTGTAGAGAGTAGCTGATTACAAGTTAAGATGATTTCTAAAACCTCGTTTCGGCAAGCTATAAGTCGCAACGCGTAACATATCACAAAGAACTCTTTTGTTGGCGGACTTGACGTATATTGTTCCCAGCGCCAACACGTGAACCGGAAGTCTAACCACGCCCCTTTCACGTGCTCCTCGAATGTGACCTGCATGCGGCTAGCAAAAAACACGTGGGACGTATACTTGGGAATAGCTAACCTCCAAGCAGATCCCTTTTGGTGCCAAAAAGACAGTATCAAATTGGCCAGCAGGCACTATCCATTAGCCAGAGAAGGTCGCAGGCCATCGACGGTGGTGGGTGTACCGCCATATATAAAAAGCTAACGATCATTCCCCCGCAACCTCTGCTTGAAGAGTAGGGATTAGCCTCTACCGGGCTTCAGAGGCGACTTGAAAGAGTACATAGAAATGGGCCAGACAGACAGATAACATGCCAGGGGGGTAGTCAACAGTCTGGCACTCAGGTACTAGGTTTAAGGGCGGTTTGATAAAGGGCGTGAGGTAGCCTATCAGGTCGGCCACTTGATACAGTGATACCATATCGTTGCACACAATAGGAACTCTCCAAGCAGAGGTTGTGGGGGAATGATCGTTACAATTTTATATATGGCCGTTTTTTTTTGTCGCTACCCCCACCAACCCGTCGGTAGCCGGCGACCTTCTCTGGCTAATGGATACTGCCTGGCAATTTTATACTGTCTTTTTGCCACCGAAAGGGATCTGCTTGGAGATTACACAATAGGATCGTTTCTTATCAGGTTAATCCTAAATCCTTCGCTTTTATCAAACGATATTAGATTACCTGTTAGGAAAAGAAAGTTGATCCAGTTTTAGCTCAGTGAAGAGCTACTCTTCCACTTGTCGTGACAGAGAAGACAGATGCTATGTGTGCAGCATTAACAGGATTATTGAACAGTGGACTACAGCTTAACGTCCCGTCCTATATTAGCTAAGAACTGCGACCCTTTCCAGTAACGTGTATGTCGGTTGAGCGACAACAGTCGGGATTCGAACTCCCAACCTCTTGATCTTCAGACAGGGTGAGCCACTACTGGTCAGGACTACGAGCGCTACTCAGCGTATGATGTAGTGACTACGCACGCCACTGATTATATAAATACACTGACCTACTGACCAACTAGAGACGTAGTCATAAATTTCCATTCCAGCCAAGCTCTTGTGACAAAAGTATCGATCTCTGTTTCGCCTATGTGCTAGCGCTGTGCTAGACTATAGCTAGTGTTATACCTGATACTTGCACGTATATAGGGTCATTTACAATGCACAGAAGTAAAAAAGAAATAATGTACATCTATTTCATTTTGTATGATACGTAAATATACGCCAACAAATATGAGGGAAGTTCCGTGCAAATTTCAGTAGAATTGTGCCGCAGATCCTAACTAGTGGTTATCTGTACACATCCGTGTCCATAATATCACCAGGGTCCATAATATCGCCATCTTGAGAAAAATTGTGCTTAAAGTTTTTTTTTTTTCCTGCAACATACTTTTGGTACACACTCCTGCACACCTCAAATGTACATACCTAGGGTATGTTGCAGTAAAAATATCTTAAAAGCACACTATATCTCAAGGTGGTGATATTATGGACCCTGGTGATATTATGGACACGGATTTTCTATCGCTGAATAATGTCCAACAAAAAATCGAACCACGAAAGAGACGTACTGCACTCGTACTGTAAGACCGGATGTAGCAAACTTTCGACATAAATATATTCAAAGCAGAACTCTCTTTCCTGCTTCGTTTCAGTGGCCTGTATGTTAGCCTTAAAACACCGTCATTGATATTTTGGGAGTATACTATGTTCACGTGGGTGACCCAATTTTCCAGAAATATCAGTCAGTTATTAACGTGGTACGTGCTACTTTTAAACTTGTCTTGTAAAATAGCCTAGGTTAGACAAATCTGGAAAAAAATATGTCACTTACCTGTAAATTATATAGACGTTAACTGTGGCGGCTATGTAGGAGAAAGACTGTCCGTTCACGTGCGCTGTTGTCACTGTTCTGTGACGGTATGGTATGCCGAGATTCTTTCTCAAAAAGATACTAGTATGTGTAAAATGGCAGAGTCTACTCAAGTCCAAAAAAGGGGGTTTTAGGTGATGGGTGTAGTGAAAAAGAATAACTTATTTTGAACAAAGGTAACAGTTTTGTTGAAACCAACAAGCTATTTAAATTGTTCTAGACAAATTGGTCTGATTTTGTCTATTTTCACAATTTTCGAAGGGCTAATATTATTTTTTAAACACATACCATCCCTCAAATAAAATAATGTTGGACTACTAGTCCATGTGCCATGGTCATTTTACAGTGAGGGCCGTATCGTGGTGACCATGTGGGCCTGTGTGCCGTACTTCGATTTGATTGGTTCCCGCCTTCGACGAGCCCCTGTCGTCTGCGTGATCGCCGTCGTCTCGGCCAATCAGGCGGCGTTCCCGGCGTGACGTCACCGGGGCGTGATAGCCGCATGTGCGCGTGTGGGGCTGGGGCCGATTCACGTGTGTGACGACCGTGCACTCAGCGGGGTAAAACGGCGGGGGTATGTGATCCTTTCTGATCGTACCGCTGTATCCTTCTGAAGTTCTGAGAGATAACCTACAAATCAATAGTGCTGTTCAGTGTTCAGGCAAAACTATATATCCACATGCAGACTGGAGTTATACGCAGTTAAAAATTCGGGTTTTTCTAACATCTTCAGTGTTATAGATCCTGTAGTTAGAGACGTAGCACAGAAGTATAACACTTGTTACTTCTATACCTGTACCTATAGTTATAGCACAGAAGTATAACACTTGTTTCTTCTATACCTGTACCTATAGTTATAACACAGAAGTATAACACTTGCTTCCTCTATACCTGTACCTATAGTTATCCAGCTTAGTGCATTTGGCCCATGCAGGGCGTGAATATGCAATAAAGTTCATTGTCATTGTCATTGTCATTGTCATTGTTAAATTTATGTATGCACAGTTGGAACTTGCTTCACAATGACTTCTAGCAACACAGATGATATGTATCCACTTGTTTGTTTCTAGGTATATTTGTAGACCTCACTAAGATCAAAGTCCCTGTACTTTTGTTGTGTCAATTAACATTGCGTTGTATGATTGTATTTGGACGACGATAACTCCGGCCTACCTGCTGTAGGCTGCTGTCGTAATATTACTTCAAAATCAGCACCATTGAAAACAACGCAATCTAGGGAATTTGCTAAACAAGTAACAAGCTTCTATCTAGCTCGGATGTCAGATCGTTTCACATGTAGGCCAGTCATTTTCGCCAGTCTCCCGTGAGAAGCTGAGCTAACCAAGGGTATGTCATTGAGCTAACCAAGGAGGTTCAATGTAACGAACTTGTTCTGAGGTTATCTGTGATGGGGACATGTTGACCTAATTTCTGAGCAGATCTTTTGCCATTTGTCTCTCGAAGTTGGGCTGAAATAATGAAAAAGGGTTTCACCAGCCCAAAACCAAAAGCCGATAAAAAATGCCCACAACACGCCCTCCTCGGGATAGCTTCTGATCTGACACAGTGACAGTTCACAGCACATGGAACACGATACACACGTGTAATGAAGACCTGCACAGTGGACAGAACATGACACCCTTTGTGATCGCTGGCGTGAACAGGGCATGTTCATACTGTGGCCTGAGCGCGCTGGCGTGAATAGGGCATGTTCTAACTGTGGCTGGATATTCAGGGACTATTTCTACCTCCTGGGGCGGTCCCACACTGTGTGGGGACCCGTTCGTGACTCTGTGAATTTTGTAAGCAGGAGTTTTTCACCAACTGTGGTTTGCGCGCGCTGACGTGAACAGGGCATGTTCTAACTGTGGCTGGATATTCAGGGACGACGCCTATCTCCACGGGCGGTCCCCAACTGCGCGAGGACACGTTCATGACCCTGAAGCTTGCTAGCAGGAATTTTTCATTCACTGTACAATTCAGACAATATCAAATGTTGTATAGCGTAGACTCTGTGCGTAGATTATAATAGATTAGACCTTTAGGATCAACATGTGTTTCCGGTTTGCCGGCCAACGCAAGCAAAAACCCGTCGACCCTGGTAAATCGAACTGATCGAGGTGAAATATTTGTCCTTCTCCACAAGAAAACGGAATTAGCCATGATCCTAGTTCAGTTTTACATGGTTAAACTGTACCTGTTGGGCAACATCAGCTGAAAAAAAAGAATTGAAAAGAAAAACAAACACTACCGACAGACCCACCGTTTTGTGGACAGAAGTCGGAAACACAACATTTTTCCTAGGCCTAGTACTCATATCCCTGCCTCGCATTGTACCTGTTACAAGTGTTATGCAATAAAAGAGAGACGAACAATTTGCGCCGAGCCGATTAAGAAACTTAAGGAATTCATGACAACTTTAATTTCTTTATCATCAAAATATACAGAACACTTTTAGGTCATGTTTCACCTTGTTTTATCTCATTTCTCACAATATTTTTTTGTACATACAATTTCTATTTAACATACTATGATATACTATTTCTCCGTTTTTTTCCCATTTTCCATTTATTATCTC